TCCATGTTTGGAATTCTGGGTTAGGGTTTTCCTTGCCATCCTTGGATAGGATTTTCGGAGGCGCAGCTTCATGACCATCGATCCAACCAAGAAGAAGGTTGGCCTCGAGAGCAGTTTTGACATTGAGAGACCATGCAGGATAATTTGAATCAGTGAGCTTCTCTGGGATAAGATTATGGAGATTACGGAGAAGAAGCTTGACGCCAGAAGGAAGCGAAGCAAGCGGATCTGAAGATTGAGCCATGGTTGCCGTTTATGGTCGACCGGCGAGAGGAAGGAGACCGGCGGTGAAGGCACAGTCTCGAAAAAAAGGGCTAGGGTTTAAACCTAGGCTCCGATACCATGATACAATTTGATAATAATTTGTCTTATTGAATATTGAGAGATATGTTCCTATATATAGGGATTACAAGAGAGAGTCATATTCCTAGTAGGAAAGGAATAAAGTAATTATGGTAATACAAGAATAAGGAAACTAAATAATATTAGGAGTCCTCCTATTAGGATGCAAGCCAAACTTATTAGTTATGTTTCCCTCGAGATGGTTATCTTCAAGCCTTACTCTTTTTAAGGTGGTGCAGTTTCTCAAACTTGTTGGAATCTGACCCGTCAAATGATTTCTATTTGCAGCTAGGAACTGAAGCGATCCCCCAAGGCAAATATAAAGAGTGAGGTGTGTTAATTGGCTTAAATTTCCTATTGATGCAGGGATAGGACCACTAAAGAAGTTGGATGCACAATCAAGTTGGTTTAGGGATCTCATCCGTCCAACTTCCTGAGGTATAAAACCATTGAGCCTGTTGTTCATTATTGACAGCATATTCAAACTAGTCAAATTTCCAAAAGAAACAGGGATTGAACCAGTGAGGTTGTTATTTTCACGGAGAAAGAGTATAGAAAGTGAGCTCAACCTTCCTATTTCGGGAGGAATTCGACCAGTGAGGCTGTTTGTGGAGAGAAAGAGTTGAGAAAGCGAGCTCAACCTTCCTATTTCAGGAGGAATCTGACCAGCAAGATTGTTCCCAGAAAGGTCAAGTTTAGAAAGGGAGCTTAACCCTCCTATCCCAGAAGAAATGTTTCCAGAAAACTCGTTAAAAGACAAATCAAGAACAACTAGTTTGGATAGATTAAAAACGTGGGAGGGAACGGGGCCGAAAAGCGTATTGTTTCGGAAATTAAGCTCCCTTAGGCCGGGGAAGGCCAGAGAGTTAAAGCCATGGAGTGTCCCCGTGAGATTTGAACCTGCAAGGCTTATGTTGGTGATGCTTCCAGCTTCATCACAGGCCAGTCCAACCCAATGGCATGGATCATTACCCTTACTATCCCCCCAAGAAGATAGGACTTTTTGGCTTTGGTTGTCCAAACTGGCTTTCCATTTGAGAAGGGCTTCTCTTTGATTCAGAGCTATTGAACTAATAACAGTATTACTAATGATGGGTACTAGCAAGAGGATGACAAGTACTGTAGAAGCCATATGATATGGTGCATGCAGTGGATTGCATAGCATTGTGATATTTATTTACCAAAGTTGTATACTCCCTCCCTCCACAAACAAAAAAAAACTTCTCACTTTTCCTTTTTTGTTTGTCCAAATAAACTTCTCATTCCTTTGTTTGGAAACCTTTTAATACTAAAAAAGACTTAATTACCCTCCATTCACTCCCTCTCATCTTTTTTTTTCTCTTCACCCAACCCACATCCTTTTCTTCTTTTCTTCACTTCTCCGTTCTTTTCTTCTTCTTTCTTTTCTTTTTCCTCCCCCTTTTGATTTTGTCCCGTAACCCAGGATTCGGAGCAGCGGAAAACCGAGGCGGTGGTCGGAGGTGCGTGGTGCAACGCATAATAGCCACACATTTTGTGGGGGGCTTACGGCGGGGTGGGGGTGGGGGTGCAGGGGCGGGGGTAGGGTGGGGGATTTAGGAGGTGGGTTAGGGGGTAGGAACCGTCAATTTTGCGAACGGAGCACTGGAGGTGCCCCAAAATGCCAGTGGCACCGCTAGTGGCACCGTACTCCGGTGTCACTAAAACCCCACCGTACATTTTGTTGTTCACATTGTTTTTGGAACATTAGTACTCATACTATATTCAACATCTAATGCGAGGACTTTAAGCTTTAGTAGTGAACCTATAGTTATGTTTCGGGTATATTGCTATTCACATGTAGAAATACAAGTGACAATGGATAAAACTATTTGTATCCCAAGAATTTTACCTCATTTTGCACAGGGATGTACCAACATTTTGTAATGGTGTAATGCTAATTTTTGTTAACGTATCAACACTTTGTGTCAGGGTGAACCATCAAAATGTTAATACATATCTTTAGTATACAAATAAAGTACAAATTTTGGGATACACGAAGCATGCTCGAGTGACAATACATAAAAAAAATCTCACTCTAAATTGGTATAATGTCAGTGGCCCCCTTACTAATTACTAGATGCGACTGAGGAAGTGCACCCATGATAATGCCCCAATACATCAACGTACGATATTGATGTTATTTGATCTTATTAGTCAAATTTAAGTACTTTCTTCGTCTATTGTCCGTTGTTTTCTTGTTTTTAATTCAATTTGTTTGAAAATTGTTGAGCAATTAAAAAATAAATTTATATTTTTAAAAATCATTATTTTCTCAAATGAGTAGCGAAAATAGGTAAAAAAACGTTGTTAAAAATTGATCGTGTGAATAGTAAATAAATAACTTAAATTGGAAGAGAGAGTATCAAAAACCACCAATTTAACCGTAAAAGGTTAGATATTTTATACCTTGTGTTAAATTGTGATATCAAGACAAAAGGACAAAGGTTGCACTAGAGTTTTTGTAGTGGAAAATGGAAATGCATTGTCTAGGCGTACAACATTATTATAATTTGGGTAATAATAATTTGTTGTTAGATATCACTTATTACTAAAGTGACATGATTGTGTAATTTTAACAAATCATTAACAAAACTAAGTAAACGAAAAAGAAAATATTTAACCTAAATGAGACGATTAATTTCACCTGGATAATATATGATGAAACAAGAGATTGACATAAAATACCTGACAAAACAACCTATTACCAATCCACAGAAGTAGATCCTAAGTCCCATGCAAAATTAAGGCTTTGAGTTTTATGGTCAAATTTTTTCTTTAAATACAAATTGTGAAAAACATATTTATTATATTCTAATTTAATATAATTGATTTCACTATAAGGATTGATTTTGATATATCAAATGCTTATAACATCTACTCCGAGTAATATTTATTAAAAATCATATTTATTAACAATCTAAGTGTAGAAATTTGACCCAAAAAAACAAACAAGAAAATGAATTCCGGTCAAGGTCTGAAGAGAAGACTTGTGGTTACTTCACTTGTCAAGGTCAAGGTCTTCATTCTATAAACATGGCCACACATTTTCCATGCATACTCTAAATAAGAATTGTCCACAAAATTCAAAATATGTTTCACATTTCACCATCATTTATTTATCATAATTTCTAAGGCCGGTAGGTGTGATATGTGTCATCACGCCCTGTCACTCAACGCCACATTGGTTTTTTCTTTTTTCATCTCAGTCCATCACCGAACAGGTGTGTGGATCACGCCCTGATTTTTTCATTTATTTAAATCAAAATTACTTTTAATAAAAATATTAATTAAATACTTCATTAACATTAGAATTAAAATTACATTGACATGATGTGATAAACAATAGACAGAATAAAAAATACGATTATTTAAAAATGTTAAAAGAAATTATTCGTATTGGCGTAGCGAAATTATGAGAGTAACGACATGAATAATATTCCCACACTTTCGTTTTTTGGATGTTTAAAAAAAAATTACACTTGTTTCTTTTTTCCTATTTTGGTTATGAATATATGAATGCCAACAATTTTTTCGCATATAAATAACTTCTAGTAACATTTTTTTACTTTTCAACTATTTTTTTAAATTTCATGAAACTAAACTGTAAAAAATTTTACGGGACCGAGGGTGTAGCACAAGTTACTACGGAGTGATTGGTAATATCCATGACCAATCGACGTCAATAATGAAAGATTTTTATATTTGTATTTCAATAATGAAGGATTGAGACAAAATTTAAGACAAAGAAGATTTTTATATGTTATTCGCTAGAAGATAAGATTATTACTCCATCCATTTTAAATTGTTCGTTTGTCTTTTTTCTCCGTCCCAAAATAAGTTGCCTGTTATTTGTTATCATAAACTTTTAAGAGTAAAATACATAAATTACCCCTAAAATAAACCACTCTTCTCTACTTTATCTTCCCATTTATCGTCATCCCTCCTAAAAAGTAATGACAATTTCAAAAAATCAACTCTATTTTTTCTTTTCCTTAAATATGCCCAAAAATCAAAACAGACGATTAAAAACGGGACGGTTGGAGTAATAAGTTTTATACATGCACGCGAGGAGGCGTGTTATAATATAAAAACATTAAGATTTTTCACATAACATTAAGAGGTAGGTTATATTTTGATTGTAAAAAGATAATTTATTTGAGATAATTTCTCTAAAGATTAAACCTACATTAAAATAAGACCTTTCATGACATGATATCAGAGTCTTGTTGACTAAGAGGTCACAGGTTTGAAACTCAGCGCCACCCAGTTTTAAAAAAATTAAAAGGTTTCACGTGCAAGGCTCGAAAAAGACTACGCCTGCACGCAAGGGGACGTGTTAGAATATAAATAACTCTTCTTGGACTACAACCACAAGCTTGAGCTTTTGGTTGAATTGGTTCCTTGACATTTACGATGTTTTTTGGCACTATATATTGAGATTTTTGGCATTGAAGTAATTTTCTTTCATTTCTTCATCTTCTTCCTTCTATTCTCTCGTCTGATAATCAAAGAATTCATTACGAAATCCAGCATAGCATCAGAGCGCGATTAAGAATGGATGTGTCCTTCAACTTGTTGCTCAACATTTTCTTCACAATTGGACGTTTCTTCAATCTAATTACTCGTTAATCATCAATGGCGACAGAAACGGAAGAAACTTATGCAATAATATATCCTTCTAATCCATTATATCTCCATCTTTCTGATCATCTAAGTTTAGCCTTGATTTCAAAGAAATTTGAAGGAGAAGGTTTTGGATCTTGGCAGAAATCGATTAAAATTTCTCTATTTTCCAAGAACAAACTCAAATTTTGTCTATGGAAAGATTAAGAAGCCTGGTGATGATCCAGTGTAGTTAAATGCCTGGAACCGATGTAACGACATGATAACCTCGTGCATATTGAGTGTTCTAAGCAAGGAAATTGGGAAAACGTTCTATACGCACACCCAATTCTGGATCTTTGGAATGAGCTTAAAATCCAACGGAGCTCGGCTGTACCTGCTTCAAAAGAACATATACTCTGTATTATATTGCACAAGAGAACTTAGATATAACTTCATGCTATGCAAAACTGAAATCTTGTTGGGATGAATTGGGGATGGTCTCCAAACCATGGCTGGCAAATGTGAGTTCTCACTGCATTTTTACGCGTGTGATAATTTTTTTGTTGGCCTATAAGTATAAATCCCGACAATACTTATATAAAACCTTCACCAATAGTAACGCTATTCTCGCAACAATCTCAAGTCTCCTATGTCTTCATTCACATCCTTAACTCTCATGTTTCTCATGATCTCAGTTCCGCAATCCGCACACCACAACTCTTCATTTTCTGAATTCGACTTTTACCAACCCAATCTAAAAATATCTGAACCTGATCCAAAAACAAAATACTCTAACTCGGTTCGCTTAAATTCAATCTAAACTCGAACCGAACTCAACTCATTGTCATCCCTTACAGCAGTGATATCCTTACTGCAATGCAACTTCTTTTGCAATTTGTGTTGCCATGTAAGACCAACCGAACCGCACAAAAGTTACACAGAGACTCAATCACATATAAAAAGGAGGAGGATTACTATCATATACTACTATTGTAAAATCCATACACTGGAGGTACATGATATGCCCAGACAACCATTCATCACCTGTAAGGATGTTTGGAGCTCAAATAAATGACGGGGAGAGTAAATATGTGGGAAAATATAGGAGAAATTGGGAAGTAAATAAAACATGATGGAAAATAGAAGCATTGGCTTTAGATTCATAACATTCTTTTTTGACCCCTACAAGTTCAAACTCGTCGTATCTGTTAGATTTTACCATATAAAGAAAGAAGTCTGAACATGTGTAAAAAAATTTGAAAACATTCCTCATATTTCATTTCCTTTGCACTCTCTGTAGCAAAACCAAACACAGTAGACAAACCTTCCTTGGCTTCTTTTTTTTCCCCTTTCACTAGCATTTTACGTTATCCAAACAAACCCTAAGTTTCTGGAAAAAACAAATTCCATACAACAAGTACATTAACATTCGCAGCTCCATCAATTGATCATAGTTGGCACAAAGTACTACAAAGAAATATGTGCATATTGCTCAATTACAATAGGCATCACCAACCATAAAATTCCACAAAATGTAGGGTTTGGACTTTGGAGAGGGTGTGCCATGTGTGTATGGATACCTTACCCCTAATGGCAAGAGACCCACAACTCAAACACAGAAGCAAGGCAAAAAAACCACAGTAGCACAAACAAGGTATGAGCATAGACAAAAGAGGCACACATACCGACTCTAAGAACTAGGACCAAATCACCGAAAGCACAACTACTTACTAAGGCATAAAAACACACCAGCATAAACCAAAAACTAAGATCAAGGATCTACCCAGCTAGCTACTCTAATCCTAGATCTTCACACATTCCTATCTATGGTGTTCCCTATCTATGGCAATATTTTCAGTAAGATCCCAAAGTCACAAGTACTGGCAACATCCAAGATCTTACTTGGTCTATCTCTACCCCTTATCACGCCCATTACCGTAAGCCCTTGGCATCTCCTAATTGGGGTCCATACACTTGTCCTCCTAATGTGCTCAAACCACATCAACCTAGCTTATCGGGACTTCCCTCCACAAGACCACTCCTCACCCTACCCATCAAATATAGATCTTATTAATGGGCATCTGCCATAAAAAGTCATTAATCAATATCCCATTGTTAAATGATCCAAATTCTCAGAGCGGAAAGATACGACAGTATATTTCTTTCAATTCATCAAAGAGAATGAGGTATGAACACAGCTAAGTCAGCATTTCATTTCGTATCTACAGAATAACAGAATGAGAACCAGTGGCTGCTACGGGAATCAATATATTCATATTTGATTATCATCATCATCACATAAAAGGATAAGGAAATTCAGCCAAGAAACTCAAACTCATCTTCCCTGAGGTGGGCGAAGAACTTGAGGGGTCCCTTGCGGCCGTCCATGTCCTCCACCACGAACTCCACTTTATAAGGAAGATTGGCAGAAATCTCCTTCCCCTTGTGAATCGCAACGTACTGTTTGATAACTCCGGTACGGCCAGTCAAGTCGAACTCCGGCACTTTAGGCACGTGATACACCTTCAGAGGAGCCGTAACCCTAACCTTCGACCCGACATTCGCCATGGCCGCCTTCGAACCTTTTCCGCCGAGATTTTCATCGAGATCCGGTGGGTTAGCAACCGGTCCGGGCGATTTGTCGACAATGGTAGTGGAATCGGAAGAGCATTTTACAGAAGGGAAATGGAGGTTTCGGGTTGTGAATCTGACGTTGGGGAACGCCGGCGCAGGGATGGGGACGAGCAGAGATGGGTTTCGTGAAGAGAAGTGGGCGGCTGCTGGCGGGCTTGAAGATGTAGCCATGGCCATGACTGCGGAACTGATCAAATTGTTTGGCTGTGACTTGGGAGTCTTCTTTCTTTCTTCTTTTTCTTCTTCTTCTTCTCAGTTTGAGATCATTTTGAGATCTTGTGGTGGTGACATTTAGGAAGATTTTTGGCTCTAAGATCTCTCTATTCTCAACAAGACAGCAAAATCCTTACATTTTGTTGTAATAACGGGAAGATGACATTTCATCTAATATTTCATCTATAAACGTTAATATTCTATTACCTTCAATCTTTTTGTTCTACTCGGGGGTAATAGGATAATTAAATATCTTTCTTATTTTTTATGGAAAAACTATTTTACGGAGTATGAAAAGATTGATTTAAAAACATCGATAAACATTCTCTGTTATTGATTTAATTTTTTTTAATAGGATAAAACAGGGAGTATTTCTTTTCTTCCAAAAATTCTTTTATAGCTAGTATAATTTTTAAACATAAATAATATTTCTTCTGTCCAAAAATTATTTTCTTGCTCAGTGTTTATATGGTAAAACCTTGTTGGCTTATTTACATTTCCTATTTGATAAAATAATATAATCACATTACCTCTAGTTTTTTAGATCTTTTGATGTAGTTTTAAATATGTAATTTTTATTTTTTAATTCAACACAATTTTTTATATAAAATGGTTTGAAAATAAATTTAGTCAAACATCATAACACACAATGATAAAATAATTTTAGACAAAGAGAGTCTAAAACTTTGATATATCAAAACATTTTAAATTTAATTTAATTTATTAAATTTACATTATAACTAAATACGTACTTTTTTATCATAATTTGTGGTGAAATTTTTAAAATTTAACTGCTCTTTCCATCCGATTTAAATCGTCTGTTTCGTTTTTGAATGTTTGACCGAGGTTATTTTCATTACAATTTATTTGAAAAGTGGGATTAAAAAATAAATTTTACATATTAAAAATTATATAAAAAATTATTCGAAACAAAATTTTATACATGGCTATATTATTTTATTAAATGAATAACAAGAATAAGAAAATAAAGTTCAGCTCTGTAAATAATAAACAGACAATCTTTTTAGTAGCTCCTAGAGCTATTATCATCGGCTCATTCTTATAATCTCACGGGTAAAGTACAAGTACAAGACCATAGGGGTTTAAATCTAAAATCAATTAGAGATAAAGAGAAACCATTAGACTTATATGTTGAATTTCTTTTTGTTTCCTTTTTTATGTGGAAGAAACTCAAAGTCCCAACAATCTATCGTCATAGATCTGCACACTCGTCCATCTAGCACCGAAATATCGTGTTAAAACCAAGAACAACGGGAAAAATGTCATGTAAAATCAACTACTTGCATATAAAATCTCACGTCATGATTCACTTTATAACTCAAAAACTTGAGTTGATGTGTAGTATTTCACCCTTTTAAAAATGGTAATAGTATTTCCCTTTGTTTTCACAATAAAAAAGGAGATCGACAGTCGACACACATATAAAGTTTGTATCTGTTTCTCAAGCCCCTCCCTCTACACATAGTATCTATTCGCCAAAAAGAAGGAAAGAAAAAAAAGGTGTTAGGATGGTGAAAACACAAGGGCACAATTGACATTTCTGCTGCAGAATAGTATTTGAATTAGATAGCAGTGTATCAACCTCCTCATCTATACAAATTCTTGTCAGCACAATAATAATAAAAAAGTAAAGAAAACTAATGGTACAAACTACAAGCAATAACCTGTTACATAGAGAGATTCCTTCTAGTAGCTTCCATTTTCAACAAGAGATCTTTGATGTCTGATTCCATCCTCATCTTCATATTGAAATAGTCATGATAGGATCTTTCCACTGTCTGGAGCTCATCCCATTTCTGCTTCCTTATTTCCTCCGCCTCAGCCAAACGCAGCTTTGCGATCCGGCTCCCGAATTCCTCTTCCACCCTTTCGCTCTTTGTAACTGCGATTCGTTTCAGGGCATCCGATTCCCTCCTCGCATCGTCAGCGCGCGATTGGAACATTTTGGCCTCTGCCTGTTTGATTTTCACAATGCTCTCCAGCTCATCAAAGACCGGTTCTTTTGGAATCATAAGACTTGTCTGTAAAGCTGGGCTCAGGACCGGTTTGTCATTCCGATTGCACTCGTAGTTTGAAGGTAAAGCCGCAGACTTCTCCAAGGGAGGGCACTTTTCGGAATAGTGACTCTTTGACCACACTGGTCCATAGCTACTGGATCCCACTATTCGGTTATTCAATTCGCGGCTTGTGCTCTCTAATTCCTTTCTTGGGACAATTGGCGCATTCCCGGACCTTACTGGCTCTGCTTCTGTAATCACAAGAAAAGAATGCGAATGAAGTTTCAGCAACACCGAAACTGGATATGCATTTCAAGATACAAGTACAAAGAATGTGATATCTACAGCAGAATAAAATGGAGCATGAGATTGTTCCAATCAATTTTTCTTTTTTGTTTATGTTCTTGTGGGGTGGGTTGGGGTGGGGGCTGCAAATTAAGAAACAATCTTCAAGCAAGGCTATGGCCAGAAGAAAGGCACGGAGAAATGCTTGGGGAATACAAGAATCGTCCTTGAGAAGAATGAATGAGGTTAGCTCACGCACCATCTCGTAACGGGTATTTTCATCAAACCCAAAGCATTTAATGAACCTTGCAATGCACATATCCCTGCCTCTAAGCTTAATTCATGTTGGTCTTGCAATTTTAATTATGTAATGCACATGACAAAGGCAAATATCTCAACTCATTGCCGTATCATGATATCTTTCCATATATGTAGAAATATCCTAGAATGATGACAGGTTTAGACTTTTCATCTCATTATTTCTTTGTTTGAAGGTTTAGGCAGGAAGGGTATTTGACCTAACAAAATTGCCACTATGCTTTTTTGCATTACCGTATAGTGTTAATAAGATTTATACGATTAACTGGCATAACACGTTCAATGTCACTGACCCAGTATTTGGGATTTAGGCGGTGGTGGTGGTGGTGATTGGTGAATGAACACTCCGAAACCTTTTCAACTCAGAAGAGTCAGATCCATTTTATATAAATTAAGATCCCGTTGGAGAAAAAATAAATGGTTATCAGCAAACAAATAATAAACGGTAATATAATGACGAAAGTTAAATGAGAAGACTCACCAGACAGGAATTGCATGATTTGGTTTTTAATTTCTTGAAGGTCAACCTTAACCGATAACTTGGTCAGCATCTGAATGGCAATCTCATGTAACCTCTTGCCTCTAACATCTTCACTGGAAAAGAAAACTCTTCTCACATATTCAAGTTCCTTGGAAAGTGTTTCTGCACTCCAGTCCTTGGCAAAGTTCAGAAAAACTTCTTTGACAAAGCCAAACATCTCAGAAGGATGATCACATGCAACACAATGAAACTGCATCTCTACCGTACCACCATGGGCCCCAGATGCACTTCGCCCGTTTCTAATAAAAGATTCACGAAGCCCACAGTCCGCATGACACCAGTGCAGACACACATCACATCCAACCCAACTACATGTGTTAGAAGCCATATCAAACTTGGAACACACAAGACACATGCACGCACTGCAGAAACCAATTTTCTGGGAGCAAACTCTACAGTCACAATCATCCACAGGAAGGAGACTTCGGCATGCGACGTTTCTACATCTCAAGTTCAGATATATCTCTGCCAAAACAGATGATGAGATGTCATAACTTTGTTGCAGATATTCTTGAAGGCCAGTTTTAAGAGATACCAATATCTCCAATTGAGTTCGGTGTAAATTCATTAGTGTCTCTGAGGTAGCATCAGTCCTCTTCTGGAGTGCTTTTCGAAGAGTTGTTAGCTGCCACTGCTTTCCCGGATTTGATATTATGTCATTAACATACTCTTTCAAAGATACCAGATGTTGACCAGGCATTTCACTAAATCTCCTGGAAGTCACATGCAAAGGTTCGGAGACCATTGTCGTTATAATTGATTCGGTAAAGTCAGCTTCCGCTGTTAATCCATGTTCTTTCTCATCAATGTGATTGGATCTGCGTAAAAAACTGTTATCTTTTTCCCTCAAGGCATGCTTCTTGTCTATAGTGTAATCTGATCCAGTTTCAAATGATCCAACACTCCGTGGAGGTGATGATCTGGCACCATTCATATAACGAGACCGTGTACCAGATACATGTCTATTAAAACTCAGTTGATGATCCAGTACAACAGGTGTTCTTGAGTTTTCTTCCAGAGCACGAAGATGCTTAGCCACGGGTTGACCGGTTGAATTTCCTGCAGATGATTGGGACTGTCGTTGAACACCAGCACCATTTGATAAAATGGTTTGAGATATTTGAAGTTCAGTGTCCTTCTGCTCGTTTGAAGCAAGGGCTTGCCAATCCACGCCTTGAAATAAGGGTCTACTCTTAACAGATTGCTCATAATCAATTGAATTGTGTGTTAAAGAGCAGCTCGGGTTGTGTGTGAAGTGTTGTGATCCCGAGAAGGACATAGACATAGTAAACCCATCAGAGTTTGTTCGAAATGAGCTATCATATGATTGGAAGCTCCTGGCTTGACTTGGAGAACCAGGAGGGTCAACTGCATTTTTTGCACCAATGGGCAATAATATATTTGGCAAACTAAGAGAAAGATCAAGAGGCTCCAGAGCAAGCTTATTCTCATCCTTGGGCTTGTGAGTGCTCAAATGATCTGTTTCGTCGGGTTTCTTTACTGGACCAGATGAGAACAGATCCAGACCTCTTGCACTAGGCATTCCCATATCAAAGTCCCTAGAAGATGCATGCCCCATTGAATCTCCTTCAAACCTGAATGCAGCTGCAGGAAAACTTGTAATTGTCACACTTTTCCCCTTGTCCTTGGCAGCTTGGATTCTATCGTCCTGCGCAGCAGACAAAACAGCTTCAGAGGCTCCAGTTTCTTTCTCAACCTTAGCTAACTTGATGTGATCTGATATATCCTCAGGATAAATACACTTCTTTTCATCTGGTTTTCTTGATGGCGAAGACTTCTCAGAAAGCATGACTAGAATTTCTTTCTGAGAAGAGGTACTTTCGTCATGATTATTCACAACCTTGTCAATTTTATCAATTTCTTTCACATTTGTATCTTCATTCCCAGTTGTCCCCAAAAAACCACTCTTGCCATCAGGTAAATCCGTAACTTCCTTCAGCATACAATGGGCATTTTCAGACTGCTTCTCTTCAGACTCCACTCCAGTCAAGCACGCCTTATTAGATCCAATCTTTTCTGCAAGTAACAGATTTTTATCATCCTCTAATTCCTTACCTTGCATCTGATTCTCATGGTTAAGCTGCTTCATTGATGAGTTCAACCCAGGAGGAGTTTCACTTTGAACAGCAGTCTCTGTGCCAGTTAATGGATGAGGATCAGGTTGTAATTCTCCCTCTTCCATCTCACTACTCTGGCCACTGCTATTTACTTGCATATTTTCGGCTCTTTTGATCTCTATACTCCTTGATTGTTCACTCCCAGCATCTCTAAGCCCTGTTGGAGACTTTGCCCTAAAACCGTCATCTGATTCAGTTTGAGTTTCTCCAACTAACTCACCGCTGCATTTATTCACTTCATCACCATCTTTTCCAGAACCAATCTTGCGCCAGGATGACACACTCCCCTCTCTCCGGGACCTGTCCCTCTCTGATCTAAATCCTTTCGGAATTTCCCTCCGTGTTGCAGAAAAGCTTTCAGACCGATGAAAACGTTCTGCACTATACCCTCCCTTAGGGGAAGAAGAGCTCGGGACCCCTCGCTCGTTTCCATAGCTGTACCGGTCATAGTTGTTCCGTCTATCATAATTGTCAGCATCAAATTCTGACCGCTTTCTAACAGATCTCAAATTGTCTCTATCATCATCTGACCGATCATACCTAGACGACGATGATGAAGGCATCCCCTTCCTACCACTCTCAGACTTGTAATAAAAGCTTTGGTGTGAAGAGGATCGATGCAAACTGGAATCCTCCTCCCTCCTTCCCCAATCTTTCGGCACAACCTTCTCTCCATACGAATCAAGATCATCGCTAGACCTCAACCTCTTCATCATAGACTCTATGAAGAAAAATAATACTCTACTTTTCAAGCGACTGTCCAACAAATTGCAGTCAAGTCTTTAATATTTTGAGCTTTTCGCATAGCAAACATTGAAGAACAACTAATCTCAGCACCTCATTGCTTAAATCAAATACCAGGAAGAGGCAAAATCTTCAAGCTCGAGCTTTCAAAAATCTACACCCCAATTCCTGTTCAAGTAGCATAAATCATTACAAAAGTATTAAAATTCCAAGCTAGAAAATTCAACAGGGAAAAAAACAAAACGCAATTGAAGCAGGGGAGAGCAAAACCCTAATTTCTAGCTGATACTTGCACATCCCCATTCCAGAGCCTTTTTTTCACCAAAATAACAGATCAAAAACTCAACATCCTATCTTATAAACTGAAAATAACGAAAATCAAACAAACACAGACCACACATAGAGAACCCAAATCCTTCCAATCAAATTTAAAGAGAGCCTCCCGGAATCCAAAACAAAGAGCTGAAATATGAGAAGGTCCAGTTGAGAAATGCACCGCAGCAGAGCTCCGGACGCCGCCGGAGTAGAAACGGATCCTTCGCCGGGAATTGTCTCCGGCACGAGGCTTCCCGCAGAAGTCTAAGGCTAGAGAGAGAGGGGAACGTTACAGTCAACGAGGATTTTTAACAGCGAAATGAGAGAGAGAGAGAGGGGGGGAATTTGGATACGCAACCTCAAGTGGGGCCCGTATGGGTCAATGTACCAAAGGACAATTGGCTGTAAAATGGGTTAAAAAGGAGTACTAAAATGCGCTTCGGGGTGTACGTTAGTCGAATCTGTTTTAGTCAACTCCGCTTTGAAATTCAAAGGGAAAGTTGAAAACCACTGCCCTTTCCACGTCACCACATTTTCCTTTCTTTCTTTCCTTTCATCTCTTCTTAGAGGCCGTTTGGATGGAGTGAAATTGGGGAGAAGTTAAAAATGAGTGAAAAAAACAAAATTCAAGGAATTTTTTCAAATGTATCCCTTTTCTTTTTTCTTTATTTTCTTTTCATCCAAATTCCAAACCCGAGTTATTTTCTTTCCATTTTCTCTTCGTTTCTTTTTATCCTCTCTTTCATTCTTCTCATTTTCTCTTTTTTTATCTATTCTCTCTGTCTTATAAAATCTACACTCTATCCTTTTCTGAATGCCCCAAAAAATAACTTACATCTACTTCGGTCCAAAATATTTGTCACATTATATGAAATGAAATAAATTAAGTTTTTCAATTTATTTTATTTGAACATTGTATTAAAATAAAAAAATGTAATTAAAATAAAAAAATGTAATTTATATAGACTATTTAAAAACTATTTCAAATATTCTTCTAAATAAAGTGTGACAAGAATATTGTATTTGACCAAACTATCAATAAAAATGTACAAATAAACAAAAGTTCTTGTAATTTATTAATAATGAACTATAACAATTTTTTTAAGATAGAAGAAATACTTTAATTGTAATTATATATCCTTATTTACAAGAAAAACTATCCAGAACAATTCCAACTTTGCTCGACTTTTCAAAAATAATCTCATCTTCACTATGATGCATAATAACCCAAAATTTATTTAAATTTGTGAGTTTTGAATTTTTGTTAAGCTCTGTTTTGCACGACAAAATGAAAATTAAGATTATTTTTTATGAATTCTAGTTTAAATTTTTTTTCCCAAACTTTTTATTTAAATTTTTAAATGACTTTCTACCTTTCACTTTCATTCTGCTACGCAAAATAGGTTGTTTCTGTTTACCAATTGTGAGCAATTTAACAATGACCCAAAACTCACAAACTTCAATAAAGTTGAGATTAGTATGCATCAAAGTAAAAGATATAATTATTACAAAAAGACCGAGTAAAGTTGGATTATTCTGGATAATTTTTCCTATTTATAAATTTGGAATGAAAGGGAAGTACAAGAGATGATTTGGTGGAGGGGCAATGGTTATTTGACTATTTGTGATTAATTAATAAGGTTTTGGAATGTTTGGTCCAATTTCAAGTTTCCACGCTTGGTAATCGGGTCAATCAATTCAATTTTAGTTCGAACTTTTTTGATCCACTCCTTGTATGTAATAAAAGAGGTATATGTACAAAGGTTACGATGTCACTATAAGTTGTATATACTCTATATAAAAATATACGACATTAGTTTAAGTGATAAAAAACGGAGTTTGTAAATGAAAGCAATTGTACCTATTGTTCAAATATACTTTGCTTATATGGACATCAATTGTTGAACTATTAGATTTGATTGGATTTGAGTCTAATTTTTTTCAAATTTGATCATTATCGTGCATAAAAGAAGTAAAGTAGAAATAAAACATGAAAAAAATATCCAAATAAGAACTCTATATTTTTCATCCCAAAAATTAAAATATAATGCTAATAACACAAATATATAATGCCAGAAAAACAGAGAGAAACCACTATACAGTGTCATAACATTATACTTCAAACTCTTATTCAAGAAATAAAAATAAGAAACTCATATAATATTTTGAAGATAAATACTACGAGTATGTATTTTTATAACTATTTGAATTGATTTCTTTACATTCCATAAACCTACTCCCTCCCTCTACTCTTATATATCTTCCGAATTCAAACATCATGTAAAATCTTTTTCTTTTAAAATCACATTGGGTCTGTTTGGGAATAGCGTTAGAGATTAGCGTTAGCGTTTTGGATAAAATTTTAACGGTGAAAATTACTTTGAAAACGCTAACGCTAAACGATGTCCGTAGATAGCCTTTTGAAAACGTTAACGCTAATTGTTAACGCTATTCCCAAACATGCCCATTATTTACAAGTTGATATATCAAAAAGTATTACAAATTACATTGTTTAAAAGTCAAAAATACAAAAGTTATAGAAAATACAATGTGAAAAAAATATTTTATCTTATAACATGATTAATGAAAATATATAAACAAATACTCCCCCTCGCCCTAAAACTCCTCCCCACTTTGACTCTTAGAAAATTTAAGTGAGAGATATTTTTGTGTCGATTTTCTAAAAAATATCTTTGATTTAATAGATAAAAATAGGACGTGGTGGGTAGATTATTGCTAAAAATATATGATGTGATAGGTTATAAAAAATAATAAGGGTAAAACTAATTTTTTTACACCATAATAGAAATTAGAAAATTTTTGTGGAATAGTTAAAAAAGAGAAAAAAGTTGATGAGACGGAGGGAATGTAAACTATCGAAAAACATTAACAGTACTACGAGAGCATAAAAAAGAAAGAGAAATAATTTACTCGTACTAACTAATACTACAAGATGTAGTATGGTCAAAAACAAGTTGGGGCGACAACTTATTAAGAAAGAAAAAATAAAACATATGTTTGCAATCATATGTCGGCAAAGAATGTACAGAAATATGAACGTTCATTGGCCAGGTGGAGGCCGGGCTTCCATGTCATAATGAGCCTGTTTGGGAATAGTGTAAGCGATTAGCGTTTTGAAAAGGCTATCTACGGGCAGCGTTTAGCGTTAGCGTTTTTAAAGTAATCTGCACCATTTAAATTTTATCCAAAACGTTAACGCAAATCTCTAACGCAATTCCCAAACAGACCCAATGTGTTCACAATAGTACGTCCCGACTTTCAAAGAACAAATAAGCAAACAAAAAATGGAAAATGCTAGAGTGCCACCATATGGGTGCTACCATGGGTGCACCCATGCTTCGCACGGACAAACACAAACGATAATTGTCTGTGTCGCACAGACAATTATCGTCTGTGTTTGTCTGTGCGAAGCATGAGTGCACCCATGGTAACACCAATGTAGTGGCACCCTAGTATGGTCCAACAAAAATATTAGTATAGAAATAAACCAAGAAAAATATTATACGGAGTATATTATACTCTTTCCATCGTATATCTTAAACCAAGAAAAATCTCAAGTTTTTTCAATCTATTTTATTTAAATATTAGTACAGAAATAAAAAATAAAACATACATATTTAAAAACTACATCAAAAGTTCAACAAAACAAGTGGTGACAAGAATATTTTATTTTATCATATAGGACATGAAAAACACAAATAAATATAAATTTCCGTGAAGTTAGAATAGTGTTCTGTGAAGAAAGTTTTAGTACGGAAGAAGTACATAAATAATATTACCTTCATCCCTGAAAGTGTTTTCCTTATTGACTTTTTAAAAATTAAGGCAAAGATATTTTTTGTATTGACTTTCCAAAAATAATTTTGATGTGATAGATAAAAGTAAAATGTGATAAGTGGATTATTAGTAAAAAATGTATAATTTGAAATGTAAAATATGAAAAATTAAGATGTAAAAGTGATTTTTTTATATATAAGGAAACATCTTTTGGAGACAACAAAAAAATTAAAGAGGAAGATCTTTTAGGAACGAAGGGAGTATATATAGATATAAGACGGAGAAAGTACTATCTTATGATTTTTATCTGAATTGAACTCCATTTGTCCCTTTTTAAGTCGAAATGATGTTATTTTAAATGTTTAAGTAAAATTACTTTCAATTTTTTTAAGATTCTAGTTCTTTATGAATTTTTATGAGATTCCCCTCCCATAACAATTTTATTCATTTAAAATTTTACATTAATTACTAAATAAAATAAAATATTTTCATAACTAAATATTTTGATGAAATATGAACATAATTTTAATAACCTAACATTTTCGCTATTGGTATTCATTGGGCTTGGGAAAAAAGGGTCCCAGAATTTGAGATCCAAACTAATATAGGTGAGGTTGTTAGGGCAACTCCAACCGAGCTTCTATAAGCTAAAAAAGAAAATTTACATTTCTCAGGTAAGCTTCATATCATTGTGTTCATGGAGTTTTCTATGCAATCACTATGCTAGAGTGATTGTTTACCTTAAATTCATTTCAGTTCTTGGACTGCTAGAAAAATCAAAATTTGGGGATTAATTTGCAACCTATTTTGGTCTCCAATTGTAAAACTTTTCTTAAAATTGATATTGATTTGGCGGTTGTTGTTCATTGCTCAGGAAACACATATTTTTTTCTCCTAATCTGTAGTTTTCTAATGCAATTATTCATTGCAATTTATTCTCCTAATCTGCAACCGTTTGTAATTGTTCATTGCAATTTTTTTCCTAATTTGATTGAAAGCGCAATATAGGATTATTGAAGATTAGTTTGTTTGATGGAAAACTTTTGAAAAGTTTAAAAATATAGATGATATGATTGGAGAAGTGGTGGAAAAGTGGAATGCTAAATCACTATTGGACAGCTAAAATAACATTTAGCTTCCCAAAATTTAACACATGCCTTGGAGTTGCTCTTAAGTGTATGGTTGACCATAATTCGCTTAGAGGATTTACTCATTAGAGCAACTCCAATGGGAGGCATATATAAAAAGGTAAAGAGAAATATTTATGATATATACCTCTTTTCATTAAAAATTATTCTCCAATGGGAAAGGTAAACAAGAGGTATTATACCTTCTTCAATTTTGAAAAGGTAACTTTACCTTCTTCATTTGGGGAGGCATATCAATTTTTCCCACTTTTTAAATTTATTTCATCAATTACTTTAATTATTGCAAAACTTTGTCATTGTAAAACTTAACGAATCAAGAATTAACAAAAAAAAGATATTTTATTTTTTAATCTTATACTCTATATTTTTAAGTTTTTTCTATTCGGGTATTTACAGTTTTACATGTGTAATTAGATATAACATATATTTAACTATTTCAAAACTGACATTCTAATTTTTTCCCCAATAATTTAGTTGTATTTTTACAAAATCTTTAAATTTAAAAATTTATTCAAGAACAAACAAAGACAACAAACCTCAAATTTACCTCCCCATTAATTCAACTAATTTTTTCCCATGTATGGAGATGAATTTTTTCCTTCTTTTGCTTTTTGATTTACTTTCCCCTATTGGAATTACACACTTTTTAGAAAAGTAAACTTGATCATTTGAAAAGATAAATAAGATATATAGCTTTCCTAGACACCTCTTGCCATATTGGAGTTGCTCTTACATCATTGATAACATTAAAAAGTGGCTAAATAAATACAAAAGGATCGAGATAAAAAATACTTAGGACCGAACCAAAATACTAAGGACCAAACCAGCCCAAATAGATTGAACTAAAAAAATACATATTTTTTAGTTATTTTGATAAGTAAAAACTAATGTGAAACTAAGTAAATATCTTTTAGCAAAAATTATTAACTATTTTGAAATTACTCTGTTTAAATTATTCTACACTCAACAAATCACTAAATGGTACCACATAATGAGTGTAGAATAATTTAAACATATATTCTCTCCATTTGCAAAAGTTCCTATTTGACTTGGATCCAAAATAAAAAAATGTAAAATTATAATTAATTTCTAATTTTACTTCTAATGTGATGAATAAAACTAAAATGTAATGGATAAATTATTAGGAAAAAAATATAATGTAATAAGTAAGATATAAAAAGTAAAAGATAAAAGTAATTTTTTAATAAAACGTGAAATATTTTGTTGGAAGTAGAAAAAAGGAAAAAAGAAATGTTTTTGAGCACACATTATAGCATATGATCAAGATGATTATTCCAGATGATGGATACATAATAACATATATAACAATATAATTCTTTTTGATATAGATGATATGATGACACACATAGTCAATATGATCATTCTTGATGATGATTATGAAATTAACTATGCAAGGACAATTCTTGTGCTATGAAAATTGCAATTGTAGGGCAAACTCACACCATTTTAATCTCGTGAATTAAACTATAACCAGATGAGGGTGGTATATGAAAACCTAAATAACACATACGCATGTGTCATCCTTTTGTTATAAATGTTTGAATGAAGCATAATGACTAAATGAGTTCATATGATACAAAGAGAACAAACTTTATGCAGAATTTTTAAGTAAAATTTGTACTAAATAAAACTAAAACACAATGATTTTCCCTAAATAGGACTTAATAATAATTTAGTGGAAAAATAATGTCCAGTAATGATGAACATTTACTTGAATAATGACAACTTATTAATGATCAAAAGTCCTACATTGGAAAATAAAAACATATAGTCCTATACTGGAAAAGTCATTATGTTTTAGTACTATTTAAGTAAATTTCTCAATTTTTAATGAGCACACTAAAAAATTCTCTGATTTTGCAAGCTTGTGTAGGCCTCAACAATGGCGGTCTTCTCATCTAAGAGATTGTACAACTGTGTAGTTGCTTGTATTGCAGTCAATTGCTTTTATAAAATAGATTAGAATGAATTATTACACATTGGTCTTCAACGCTTGCCAACCCAATTTGCTTCACAACTAATCTAATAGCCATAGTAAATTCTCAACTCTAGATAACCACCTATCATCATGCTAGTTCGCTTGTAACCTAACCAGTTAGGCATCAAAATATATTGGCTACATTTTTATTGATTTTCACTTAGTACATACTTAAAAATCTTTGAGAAACATACTCTCACTTTCAAAATATTTAATTGGAGGCATATAGAAAACTTTAACCTTTTCTTAATTAAACCACAGATTAAGAACCACGCAATGATTAGGTGGAATACCTCCATTTGACCACTAGTCCAATAATCAGGAACAGGGAAGTGAATCCTAGACACATGCAATCTAATTTTTATAATATGGTTTGACCCACTTTCAAAAAATGACGATACCTGATCAAAATACATTGTTAAGATAAAATTATGATATAATCACTTTTTACAATAATTTCTTGAGAATAGTTCTAACAAAAACCAACAGAGAAATCACTTGCTCGTTTAAAAGAATAAGAATCAATTAAAGATTAGAAAAAAATTAAAATACAACCTTATAAGCACTTAAATCCAAAACCCTAACAGCTTATAAAACCATAGAGAAGAGATGAAGCTCATTAATCTTAAGATCAAATCATGGCAAAATAATGTGAAAAAGTTTCATTATTTGTAGTATTTCTTTGGATATACAAATCATGAAGTAATCACTCTAAAACACAAATTGAGATTACACTACTCATCTATATATGATACTCTCTCCATCCCAAAATATTTGGGACATTTTACTTTTTCAGCAATTGCAAAAATTTTTATTTATTTTTATGTTTTCATTAAGTATTTGATAAAATAAAATATTCTTAAATTTTTTTCAAAAACTTTTCATGTAATTTTTTTGACATGTAAATTTTATTTTTTATTTTTATACCAACATGTAAATGAAATGAATTTAAAAAACTTAATATACTACCTTGAAAATACAAATGTGGCAAATACTCAGGGACAAAGGGAGTATATCCTCTCGCAATCCTATCATACTAGAGTATATATAATTCACAATAATAAAAAAAGTGTCGAATTGACTAAAAAAATTAACAATTTCTGGGAACTTCTAAACTCTTCTGCTTGCAAAACTGTTAAAAAGGATTCATTAAAACAAGATTTTTAAAGTATAGGGGCATCTGAATGCATACGTTTCATGAGAGAAATGAAAACGAACGCCAGAATCTCAGCACCAATTTGTTATCGGCAACGTACAGCGCTGATAACGCCATGAACAAAGCGTTTCAGAGACTCTAATTTGTTGCCTTCAAATAATAATTTCTAATCAAGGAAATATGGAAATCTAGCGCAAAACAAGAGGAACTGATAAGACTCAGATTAATGTTTAACATCAAAAAGCTGTTTGCTTTCAAAGTTTGATGGTATAATACTTTAATCATCACTGCCTCCATATCTCCATTGCAGAGCTTAATCAGAAAATCTCTGAAGAACGAACAAAAATTAGAAAAAGTGAAAAGGAAAGATGCGATTCAGACATCCGAGGAAGGACATAAACAGCATAAGCTCTCAAGACCGGCGAAGGCGAAAGCTCTTAGGCGGCCACTGCGAATGTTCGGAGAAACAAGCCTTTCATTTCTTCATCATCATCACACCATTCCATTTAACTTAAGCACATAAGATCTGATAAAAACGAATCAAAACATCTTCAAATTGAAAACGCAGAAACAATAACGAAGAATTTCTGAAAACAAAAACAGAAAAGAAAACGGAGAGAATTCAAAAAGCCTCAGACATCCAGGGAAGGACGAAAGCAGCATGCGCTCTCAAGCCCGGCGAAAGGCGAAAGCACTTAGGCGGCCACTGCGAATGTTTTGAGAAACAAGCCTTAAAGATTTATCATCATTGGCTGATAATAATGGTAATAATTCAATGGAAAAAAGATGAACAAATCGCAGTGGAAAGAACAAATCTAGGAACACTTGGGATTCAGATCCTGCGGTATGGGGGAGCCATGGAAGGGGATTTAAGTAGATATTGGATGGGGGTGTACGGGCTATGAATCTAGGGTTTGTGCGATTCCCAGGCGGCGGGGAGAGTTGAGCGCTGGAAAATTCTAGATGAACCAACCCTTCCAAATTCGAATGACCCGACCCATAAGTTATACGGCTCCCAATATTAATCCCCGTTTGGCAATCCCTCAATCCAAACAAGTGGAGTAAATTCTTAAGATAGTTTTGCAATATCCCCCCCCCCCCCCTAAAATAATTTTGTCAGTTTAATTTACGATTTTTTATTGAATTTATTTTCAATTTGATTCATTTGATTATAAATGTAAAATTAAGAAATAAAATTATATATTTTAATATTTATTACATCTAAAATTTTACAAACAAGAAGATACATGATTATATTCTTTTATTAAATAACTAACGAAAATTGATAAAAAAAATGATTAATATTTGACTGTGTGCATAGTATCTCGAAAAATCATTTACACTATCTTTGGTAAAGGAAGGAGTGAATTGTTTAAGGATTGTGTGTGCTCATGTAAATTATCATGACTTATTTGTTAGAGTAATGTTAGAGTCACAAATAAATATTTCACAAAATTTATAAACTCGTCTTTTTAACACTTTTCTAGAAATAAAGTGCACTCAAATAATAAAATATGTTTTAATTTAAATTCCACAAAAGACAGATTTATGAAGTTTATGAACTATATTTTTGTGACTCTAGCATTTTCATACTTGTTATGTCTTTGTGCTCCTTTGGATTGGAAAACAATACACTCATTTCTCGCAAAAATAAGTTGGCATTTTCTTGTTGCAAAAAAATAAAAACCAAAAGCATCTTTTGGCTTCTTCTACTGCCTAATAACATTTCTTGCAAAAACAAGTTGGCATCTTTTGTACCTAATAACATTGAAGTTGTAAAAAAACAAAAAGGCATATCTTGTGCCTAATAACGTTGAAGATGTACAAAAACAAAAAACACATGTTGGCAACTCTTGTGCCTAATGACATTCTACGAGCAGTGGCAATGGGCGTAACGCCCATCCACGTTATTCTCCGTTTGATGCCTGGGTGCGTTAAACACCGTCTCCCTCCCCTGTTATCCGGTCGTTAAAACTCTCGCGTCATAGTTTTGACGCAATTTGAAGGCGTGATAACGTCTCTTCCTTCTTTTTTTCTCCTTCTTTTTTCCTTTTTTCTTCTCTATAAATTAAATTAATTTTTTTTAAAAATTCAACACAAATACAAATTTCTCTATCATCTTTTTTAAAAAAAATTATTATTCAACTATTTTTTTATTTTTTCATGAATGTAATTTTTTATTTAATGAATGTAATTTTTTTACGTAGTATTTAATGAATGTAGTTTTTAATAATCAATGTAATTTTTTTATTTAATGAATGTAATTTTTTTATAATCAATACAATTTTTTTAATGAACTATTCTCGTTTCAATTCTTTTAAATAATTAAATATTTAAATTTAATGAATTTAATTTTAGAAGATGTGTATTTAAAATGTAAAAAATGAAGGTTTGAAGCCTCAGTTTGAAGCCCCGGGGCTTCAAACCCATTTCCAGTGAAATTATAAGTTAAGTTAAAGCTAACGTGGCAGAGAGAAGGTTTGAAGCTCCAGGGCTTCATAGGTATTTCCAGAGGAACAAAAGAATGAACGCCATCAACAAAGAAGTGAGATCATTGATCCGGGACATCATAGATAAGAGATTGAAGGCAATGAAGCAAGGAAACTCTAGCAATGAAGACTTGTTAGGCATATTCTTGGAAGGACCATGCTAGGGTGCCACCACATGGGTGCTACCATGAGTGCACTCATGCTTCGCACAGACAAACACAGACAATAATTGTCTGTGCGACACAGACAATTATCGTCTCTGTTTGTCTGTGTGAAGCATGGGTGCACCCATGTGGTGGCACCCTAGCATTTTCCTTATTGGAATCCAACAAGGAAGAAATCAGAAAACAGGGGAAAAGGGAGTTTGGGATGAGCATTGAAGATGTCATCGAGGAGTGCAAATTGTTCTATTTTGCAGGACAGGAGACGACTTCTGTGTTGCTCGTCTGGACTATGATCCTTCTAAGCAGATTTCAAGATTGGAAAGAAAGAGCCAGACAAGAGGTGCTGCATGTTTTTGGTCGGGACGAGGACCCAGATTTCGAAAGACTAAACAACCTTAAAGTGGCAAGTGTTCTTGACAATACCATGCATGATTTCTTCCTAGTAGTAGACTCTGAGCTTCTTTAATTAATGAAGTAGCAGTTAGTCAATCAATGTAACTTTCGACGCTGAGTTGGGGGTCTCTTTGGAAAGAGTCTCTCTACTTTTGAGTAAGGGTGAGGTCTGCGTACACATACCCTCCCCACACCCTTCCCAGATCCTACTCTTGTGGGATTCAATTGCGTTGTTGTTTCTATAGTAGAATCTGACTTCTGACATTCATTCTCTTTTCAGGTGACAATGGTCTTGCATGAGTCGCTAAGGCTGTACCCGCCAACAGCTGATGTGGCTAGGAGGACGGTGGAAGAGACGAAAGTGGGGGACATAGTTTTTCCTCCGAGGGTAATGTTGTCATTACCAATACTTCTTCTGCATCTTGACACTGAGATATGGGGTGAAGATGCAAAAGAGTTCAAACCAGACAGGTTCAAGGAAGGGGTAGTGGTAGCAACAAATGGTAAAAACGCCTTCCTTCCATTCGGTGGGGGGCCTCGAATATGCATTGGCCAAAACTTTGCTTTAGCGGAAGCTAAAATGGCCATGGCGATGATCCTACAACGATTCTCTTTTCAGCTCTCTCCTTCTTACGCTCACGCTCCCATTTCAATGGTGACAACTCGACCTCAGCATGGCGTTTCCCTCATTCTGCAAAAGCTCTAACGTGTCTAACGTTTTCTTGCAAAAAACTACTTTCGGGTATCGTCAATTTTTATTAATAATTCCCAAGTCCCAAATATAATCTGGGGTTCTCTCAATTTTTTTGGTAAGAATTATCAGATCTCACATTATTTAAAATATACTTCAAGGTTATTAAAATTTGTGATATTATACTCAGAGGATATATATTCTCTCAATTTAGGTGTTAGATTAAAAGTGCTTTTACTTTGACAAATTGACGAATTATATTTAAATATAATAAAATAATGTTTATCAATGTAAATTTAGTATTATCAAAGTAATAGAATTTTCAACCATAACAGTCAAATAAACAAAATGTGTCTTTAGAGTACATTACCACAAAATTTAAGATCAAGGATATCACGAAATATATTTAGGATAATGTGAGACCTGATAGTTGTTAGCCAAAAATTAATGGTATCCCAGAGTAATTCTGTATTTTTCTTGCCCCATTTACGGCTTCAAGAAGACTACGTTTTGTGTTGAGCAATGTTGCGTTCACAAACAAAATGGTCATAAACTTCACAAACTTGCCATTTATGGTTTAAATTTTCATTTAAAAATTATTTTAGACAAATATTAAGTTTACAAATAGTAAATTTGTGAATTTTTTGACCATTTTAGTAATTACTTTAAAGCTTTGTTTGGAACACAAAATTCAGACCATATAATTGAAATTGAAGACTTCAATTTCAGTTCTGTTTGGTATGACAAAAACATATGGATCTAGAATTGAATTACGTATAACTCTTAATTCTCCAAATCCATATTTTGAATTTTGTAACAAAAGTAAAGAATTTGAATTTTACTAGACAATGATATCATGTGGATCCTTTTCTAAATCACAACAAAGAAATGAGTCTTATAAACTTTTGGTGTATTAAGAAAATAGGTTTTTGGCCGCCATAGACTTCTCTGATAGACTTTGACTTATTTGACTAATCAAATAAGCCAAATTAAAAATTACAAACTAAAACATAAAAAATAAAATATGAAATTTAAAAATACTCTCTCCGTTCCAGTGTATTTGTCTAGTTTGACTTTCCGAGTCAAACTAGACAAACTTTGAATTTCTATTAAATAAAAACTATAATGTATTTTAACATAAAAATGACTTTATTGGATTTATCGTATTGAGAACTTTCAAAATTATATTTCATTATGCTAATATGCAATATAAATTGAGAGTAATTAGAATTTAAAGTTTGTCCAGTTTGACTCAAAAAAGTCAAATTGGACAAATACACTAGGACGGAAGTAGGATAAATTAAAATTTGAAATTTAAAATTTTAAAACAAAAAATTAAAATTTTAAAAAAAAATTAAAAAAATGAAAGAAAAATAATTTTAAATAACAAATATTTAAAAGTAAAAACTAAAAATTTATAATTTGAAATTTAACATTCAGAAATTAAAAATCAGAGAAAATAAAAAAAAGGATAAAGAATACAAATTTCAAACAACAAAATAAATATTAAACATTTGAAATTTGATTTTTTGAATTTAATATTGAAAACATAAAACTAAAAATTTGAAATTAATTAGTGATTTAATCATTAAAATTTTAAATCTAAAATTAAATACAAAAATTTTAAAATTTAAAACTAAAAAATTTATATTTTAAAACTAAAAAATTTATATTTTAAAACTAAAAAAATTAAACTTTAAATTGCGGAATATAAATTAAAATTTAAAAATTTAAATTAAAAAAAATGATTAATTAAAAGTTTAAAAATTAAAAATGAAAACTTAAAAATAATAACTTAAAATTTAATTTTAAAACTACAAAATAAATATTAAAAATTTGAATATTTTAATTTGAATTTAAAAAAGTAAATTTTAAATTCAAAATTAAGAATTTAATATTTAAAACTAAATACTAAAAATTTAAATGTTAAAATTTTAATTTTAAATTTTATATTTGAAATTTAAGAATTGAAAATTAAAATTTTAAATATGAATTTAAAAATTAAAATTATAAATTAAAATTTTAATCTTAAAACTTTAAAACTTAAAAATTTGTAATTTGTAATTTGTAATTTAACATTTAAAATTTCACCAACACACTATCAATTGAAACAACTGACACAAACAACCAATAGATCAACAGTTGAAAGCCCAAGTTATAGTTCTATTTCAATTCTATATAAAATTTTGTATTACTAAATAAAAGATTTGAAATTGTAATACAATTCTATATATCAATCTCTTAATTATATCAAACTGAGAATTTGAAATTAAATTAAAATTCAACTCTATCCAATTCAATTTCTTAAAATTTTAATTTTAATTCTGTATATCAAACGAAAGCTAAGCATAATTTGATCCTACTCTTGTGCGATTCAACTGGGTTGTTGCTGCTGTAGTAGAATCTAACTCCTGAGCATAGTTTTCAAAACTGGACCGGGGATCGAACCGGTCAAGGTACTGGTTCACTGGTCGGACCAGTGGTTCAAGTGGTCAAACCAGTGGTTCACGCATATTTGAAAATTCAATACACACAGACACACATGAAAAATAATATTTAATGAAATAATACTTCCTTTACCTATAATTAAAGAATTTATGATGTATTACTAAATTTATAAGCAATTTAATTATTTGAGTAGTAGCATTAAGTTGAAACAAATGGCTATTTAAACAAATAAAATAGTTTTAAAATAAGAGGTGATATTTTTGTTTTATAATTTATACAATTTTTGTTTTAAAATAAAAGTCAACTAAACTTGCGGGGTGCAATTGACATGGGTGGATGATGGGGCAGAACTGGCAGGGCGGTATGCCGGGAGTTACAAGGATATGAATCGGGTGAATTCCCAATCAGTGCAATTTTTGAAAAACCATTCCCAAATGGTGAAGGGGAGTCTGACATTGCGCAGAGTGGTCATATTTAAGCATTAACGGGACTGCTAGTACCGTAATTTTATTTTTTTAGATTAACGGTACAGTCAGTACCGTTAATCTATTAGTTATTTATAATTACGAAATTAAATACATCCCTTTATTAGATATTGGCATTAAATTTGAACAATAATAAAATTTTTATTAATTTGATGCACTACTATTGAAATAAAAAGCATACAAATAAAAGTTGTCGTACATATATAAAAATCCCACATTGAAATTTATAATTTAACTAAGTTCCTCGACGATGTCTTCGTGCTCGCATATCCATATTATTTGTGAAACGAGTACTCACTGGCCGACCGGCCTGTGACTTTTGCCCTGTAAATGGATGGACTAATTCATAACCAAGGGTAGGCCATTCAATTTCGTTTTGTAGTGGCATAACATTTCCAGAATATGCATCAAGATAATTCTGAAGTGAAAACACTCGTGGGATGAGATCATCAACAGTAATGTTGCAATAACGACATACGGCATAGACATGCACATATGGCATGTGCAATGTGGCCCATTTCCCGCAAGTGCAAAATTTTTGGCCCAGATGCACGACAATCTCATCTAATCTACCGGTAGCTCCAGCGTTACCCTCAACAACGACCCGATAAATCCCTTGTTGCGGATGATGTGGGATAACATGGCAATGTAAACGATGGTCTTCCATGCGTCTCACCTCGTTCCAAATATATTTTGGGAACTTAAATCCCGCTTGTAGCCATGTAAATCCGTTTGTACGCCTTTCTGCAAATAATTTTACTAACCGCTCGTACGTCGTCTTCACAATGGCATATACCGGAAGAGATCGGCATCCCTTAAGCACGTGATTGTAGCTTTCTGAAAGATTAGTGGTCAGGATTCCATATCGAGCCCCACCATCGGAACAGAGTGCCCACTTCTCTAATGGCAAAGCCAACAACCAGTCATATGCCTCCTCCCGTTGTGACTTAATTTGTTGCATTGTTCTATTGAATTCAGAGACATCTGGGGTACTAGCTGCATCATACATCAAGCCCTTCAGTTTTTTGCTATTGAACTTCTTCTGAAAGTTACTTCTTAAGTGGCGCAGGCAATATCTCCTGGTGACACGCTGTTCCAATAATTGGGGGATAGTATTGAAAGCTACATCAATGCCACCGTGCCTATCAAAAATGATGCACACTGACATATCATAAGGTACTACATAATGCATTAAATGCATCATGAACCAGCTCCAACTATCCCCGTCTTCTTTGTCAACAAGGGAATAGGCTAAGGGGTAAATCTCGTGATTTGCTGTCATTATTACTGCCAACAACAACACCCCCTTATATTTCCCATACAAGTGGGTGCCATCAACAGAGATCACGGGAAAACAGTACTTGAACCCATCTATAGACGCTTTGAAAGACCAGAAAACATACATTAACTGAAAAGTATATGGCGTTGTTGTTGGCCGCATTTGTATTTCGGCCACTGACCCAGGATTGCTTTGAATCAACGCCGCTAACAGAGGCAATAGCTTGTTATACGAATCCTCCCAGGATCCGTACAGTCGTTGAATGGCATTCGACTTAGCTAACCAACATTTCTTATACGACACAGAAACTTGAAATAAGTCATATATATCTTTAATGATGTACCTCACCTTGTAATCAGCATCAGCAACAATTTTAGAGAATATAATTCCCGAGATGAGCTTGCTTGTAATAAGCTTATCGTCCTTCTCTTTCGAAAGGTCTGGTCTGCATAAATGTTGACTTCTATACTATTTTACAGTCCAAACAGATGCAACCTCTGCAGCCTGGATGAGCCATGGACATTGTTCCGGATACGTGCACTTCGCCAGCCAATAATTGCGACGCTTTGAAGAAGTCTGAAAGTGTCTATGCTCTGCAATATTGCGTAGCGCCACAGCAAATTGAAGGCTTTTGAAATCACCGTACCTATATCCAATCTGAATTTCAGGGATACGGAACGTTGGTTGTAGTGAGACTTCTTCAACGTGCCTAGGGATCGGAAATTCTGGAATTCCTTGTTCAGCAATGTTAATAGGCTCCTCTGTGTACACGTCCGGTGTGTACATAGAGACCCATCCAGATACTTCAGACTTGGTGTGCATCTAGGTAAACCTCAAGTTAATAGGCTCCTCTTCCTCCATTTCTTCTTCCTCGTTAGCCAACACTTCAACTTGGTGTGCATCTAGGTAAACCTCAAGTTCATCATATTCCTTCGTTGCCTTTTGAACGAAACACCTCCATGTTCGTTCCTCGGAAATGGGGAAAGGGCGTGAAGCAGCATAAACTCCATCCTTGTATTTGGGATATTTTCCCCCAAATGTTTTTGATGGAATTGAGATTATCTTCACCAATAGCATCAAGGAGTTCATTGAAGACCTCCTCGAATGAGATATCAAGATAAAAAACAAAGGCCTTGTTTGAATGCAATGAGTACTCCACTTCATTGTTCTTGATCATTATCTCACCGTTCCAATGGGCTAGCAAGACAAAACTACCATCAGAGGCCATTTTTTGGTAAGAGGTTGTGAGAGAAGTGAGTAGATATGTGAGAGTAAAGCTCGGTGGAGAGATTGTGAGAGTTAAACAAGAAATATATAGATGGGATATTTTTTTAGTTGGGTAGATTGAATGGTGTAGGATTGTTTGTAGTGTATTGTGAGATATTTTTTAAGTTGAGTGGATTGTATGGTGCAGGATTGTTTGTAGTGTAGTGTGAGATTTTTTTTAGTTGGGTGAATTGAATGGTGTAGGATTGTTTGTAGTGTAATGTGAGATATTTTTTTGTTGGGTGAATTGTATGCTGCAGGATTATTTGTAGTGTAATGTGAGTTTTTTTAGTTAGGTGGATTGAATGATGTAGGATTGTTTATAGAGTATTGTGAAATATTTTTTTAGTTGGGTGAATTGTATGGTGCATGATTTTTTGTAGTGTAATGTGAGATTTTTTTAGTTGGGTGAATTGAATGGTGTAGGATTGTTTGTAGTGTAATGTGAGATTATTTTTAGTTGGGTGAATTGAATGGTGTAAGCTTGTTTGTAGTGTAATGTAGACATTTTTTTAATTGGGTGAATTGAATGGTGTTATATTGAAAATTATACAAATTAATATCTACCCAAATTTAATACAATAATAAAGATGTTATCATCCAAACTAATAAAAGAATAAAAAGTTTTTATCATCCAAATTAATACAATAATAAAAAAAATTAAAGTATGATAAATGGATGGTCATCTAAGAAGTACAATAAATGGACGGGCTGTTTAAGAAAAGGTGCGCAGCTGCTAGTACCGAATTGAGGGGAAGGGGTGGGTTTGGATAGAAAATTATTTTTTTTGGATTAACGGTACAGGCAGTACCGTTAATTGATTTAATTTTTTTTTTTAACTTTACGGTACAAGCAGTACCGTTAAAATCTTTTTCCACCTGACAGCACTGAACGGGAATGCTTTTTCCCTATCACTGAACGGGAATTAATTCATATGAATCACGGGCACGGGCTTCACTGAAAATAAGTATGAACAGCAAACATGAAACATTTATGGATGTGCATTCCCATTTGCACTAGCAGACAAGAAAGTCAAGATAAGGTGGGGTGTGGGTGGGCCACCATATGTCTGACTTTACCTGTGATCTAACGACGTTCTTGTCTGTCCTATCCACGGGTGCATAAAATCAAAAAGAGATATCCATAAATAAAGATTCTTAAACAAACTACTCCAACAGTAAGACTGATCGGAGTTGGGGAAGATGGAGGCGGTTCACAACCTCTTACCTGCACTTGGTTTCCTAGCATCCATCTTCTTCCTCTCATTATTATTGTGGGGAGTTTTGGATTGGGTTTGGCTTAAACCAAAGAGATTGGAAAGTATCCTCCAGCAGCAAGGCCTGAAGGGCAACCCTTACAGAGTCCTCTCAGGGGACATGAATGATCTTGGGAGCATGATAAGGGAGGCCACTTCAAAACCCATGGATCTCTCTGATGATTACATTGCCCCAAGAATCATTCCCCTGTTTCTTCATCTCATCAACAAATATGGTACCCCCACTTCTTGTTTTCATCGTTCTCTTCTTGTTTTTCTGACTCCAAGTTTCGTCCTAAAAAAGATCAACCTGTGTCAGATAAGATCTGTTTTCTATGAGTCACTGTATAGTAAGTAAGAGCACCGAAACATGAAACCCCACAAACCAAACACTAATAATACGCTATTAATGATTTTGGTCGGTCGTTTAATGCTTGCTTTGGGTATTTTCAACCATCCCAATGTATCTTTTGCTGGTTTTGAAACTGCAATTATGGCTGCAGGTAAGAATTGCTATGTGTGGATGGGTCCAAGGCCTATGGTGTTCGTCACAGATCCTGATTTGATTAAGGAGGTTCTCAATAAACATCATCTGTTTCAAAAGCCTCGAACCAACCCACTGGCAAGGAAGTTGGCACAAGGACTAGTGAGCATTGAGAAAGATAAATGGGCAAAACACAGAAGGTTGATCAATCCCGCCTTCTACACCGAGAAGCTCAAGGTCTTTTTCTGTCACTCTAGATGTCCCTTTATCACTCTGAGGTCGTCTAGTGGTTAGCAGTTTGTTGGGTGGAATAAATCAAACTAATGACCAGAAGAAATTGGGTCTTCTTCTTTTAATCTTAAAATAATAAGAGTAAAACCTGATCACTTTAAACCAATCCCGGCCTGGCCTGATACAATGCAATCTCACATATTCAACGGGAACATTTTAATCTTATTTTATTTTGATTAATTTGTGCAATTATGCTTGCTTGGAAAGATATTTACAGGTTTCAATTGTTTGGGAATTGTTACATGTTTTTTGTTCGAATAATGATGGATTCATCTAGATATTCGTAATGAGTAAAAGATACAAAAACCTGTCCAGGTTCTTTTCAACCTGGGTTTTACTTTATTTGGTAAAATTCTTCGTGTCAACAGCTAATGCAACCAGCTTTCTTGCTAAGCTGTGGTGAAATGGTGAAAAAATGGGAGAGGGTTGTCTCACAAAGACGGTCTTGCGAGCTTGACGTGTGGCCAGACCTTCAAAACCTGACCTCCGATGTGATCTCTCGGACAGCATTTGGGAGCAGCTACGAAGAAGGAAAGATGATTTTTGAACTGCAAAAAGAGCAAACTGTGCACTTTATGGAAGTTGTACGCCAAGTTTATGTGCCCGGGTGGAGGTAAGTAAAGACGTAAAGTTACAATGGTAATAGATATTTCTTTCTCATAACCATGAAAGTTCATTTCTTCCTATTGAGGATATTGTCCCGCTCACATCATAGTAGTATATTTGCCAATTGTTTTGGGTTGGAATATTATAATTCTACATGACATCACAACTAAGGCTTAGAAGCTCAAAAAAAGAAGCTCAAATCTATTCAAGCAAGTGACATCTTGGAGTCAAAAAGACCCAAGTTGCACTTGAGGGTGATGTTGGGGATATTATCACACATCATGAACCCAGTCTACTAAAAGACTACTCGTAATACATAAAAACATGAGTTACTCATCGTATTGCCAATAAGTTTTGGGTTGGAATCTCATAACTCTACCCTTCCCATCACAGATTTTTGCCTACTAAGAGAAACAAAACAATGAACGCCATCGACAAGGAAGTGAAATCATTGGTCCGAGATATTATAGACAAGAGATTGAAGGCAATGAAGGAAGGGAATGCTAGCAGCGAAGATTTATTAGGCATATTATTGGAATCCAACATGGAAGAAATAAGAAAGCAGGGGAAAAAGGAGTTCGGAATGAGCATTGAAGATGTCATCGAAGAGTGCAAATTGTTCTATTTTGCAGGACAGGAGACGACTTCTGTGTTGCTCGTGTGGACTATGATTCTTCTAAGCAGATTTCAAGATTGGCAAGAACGAGTTAGACAAGAGGTGTTGCATGTTTTTGGCCCGGATGAGGAGCCAGATTTTGAAAGACTAAATAATCTTAAAGTTGTAAGTGTTCTTGATAGTATCATGATTTCAACAACAGTGCTCTTCCTTGTACAGTCTGACTCTTGGCATTCTCTTTTCTGTTGACAATGATTTTGTGTTCTCTTTTCAGTTGACAATGATTTTGTACGAGTCTCTGAGGCTATACCCGCCAGTAGCTGGTCTCATGAGGAGGACGGTGGAGGAGACAAGACTAGGAGATATAGTTTTACCTCCAGGGGTAATGTTGTCATTACCAATACTTCTGCTACATCTTGACACTGAGATATGGGGTAAAGATGCAAAAGAGTTCAAACCAGATAGATTCAGTGAAGGTATAATGGCGGCAACAAAAGGTAAAAACGCCTTCCTTCCATTTGGAGGGGGGCCTCGAATATGCATTGGCCAAAACTTTGCTTTAGTGGAGGCTAAAATGGCTATGGCAATGATTCTACAACGCTTCTCCTTTCATCTCTCTCCTTCTTACGCTCACGCTCCCATTTCAATGGTGACAACTCGACCTCAGCATGGCGCCCCCCTCATTATGCAAAAGCTCTAATATGTCACCCCTTTCAGTTTTCTTGCACCATGTATGACTTCACTAAAAAATTTGTTTTGTATGTAATTTTATGAGCTACAAGGTTCTTCTAAAATGGCGGCCGCACCAAACCCCACTCCCTCCGAACCACCATCCCCTTGCCCGCCTCCCTGCATCTCACTCCACCCCCCCTGGCCTTTCCTTCTTTTGGGTGACATCCTCAAGCTTTTGAAGGTGGATTATCACTCAAAGTAGGGGCACTGGGGTGGCGTGCAGGGGCGGGTTTACGGTTGGAGGTTCGGGATGGGGTTTGATAGGGGTTAGGGGTAAGAACCACTCTAATATACTGTAGATCCTCAAATCGATCCATTGTCATAGTATGATATATTGAAATTCAATGTAAAAAGAACCGTGGTGTTGACGCAAATGAACTATAAAGACAATTTTGCAATAGAAAATTAATCATATCGGTAAATAATCCTCTCGAACCGCTTTTCAAATTAATAAGAAACAATCTTTTTGTATGAACTACTACTTAGAAAGAACACTTCCATTTCCTCTCAACAAATTGGAATCACATTCTTTAAATTATCACAAAATCACAATGAGGCTCTTTTCAGTATGGAAAGAGAATATACCTGCATAGTGCATATTTCTAAGGTGTGTTAGTGTTAGAATATAAAACCAGTCTTGGTCCTACAACCACACGCTTTGAGTTAGTTCCTTGACATTGTATTAGAACTTTGTTGACGGGTTCAAATTTTAGTGCCACCCAGATATAAAAAAATTAAAAATTTCACGTGCATGACTTGAAACGGTCACGTCAGGGCGTGTTATAATATAAAAAAAATTTCTAGCCCACAAGCTTCAGTTTTTGATTCAGTTGGTTACTTGGCAGCTAGCTAGGTTTATTTAAAAGCAGAAAAAACTAGGAACCTTTAATTTTTTTTGACAACCAACTCAAAACCATTAGAGGACTGGAAATACTCGTGAAGCCTCGGGGCTTCAAAATTTCTTTCTCTGCCACGTTACCTTTAACTTACCTTTCACTGAAAATGGGTTTGAAGCCTCTGAGCTTCAACCCGCTATTTTTTACATTTTAAATACATATTTGTAAAATTAAATCAATAAGATTTCAATAATTAATTGAATTTAAACGACAATAACTCATTAAATAAAAAAATTACATTCAAAAGAATTACATTAATAAAATAAAGATTTGAATAATAACATAAATAAAAAATTAAAAATGATACTCCCTCCGTCCATGTAAGATGTTCTCAATTTGATTTTTCACGGTTTTTTAGGAGAGTTGAAAAAAGGTGAAAGTTTACCAAAATACCCTTAATGAAAATGGGTGGGGTGTATTAAATAAAGTGGAAAAAGGTGTAATAAATAAAGTAAGTGGGGGTAGTTGTGGTATTTTAATTATAAAAAAAGGTAATGAGAAGATCTATGTGGGACAAATAAAAAGGGCAAATGGGAAGATCTATGGGGGACGGAGGGAGTATTACATTATGAAGAAATTACTGATTTTTTGAGCGATTAAAAATATGTTCGATCAAATCCGACATTAATGCATTGTGAATCTCTTGGCTTCGAATTTCTTGGCGGTTTCTTGCTTCGTTTCTTTTCTTCATCGTTTTCTTTGTACGTAGGCAACTTCTCGTCCGGGTTGTAATGACAAATTGTAAATTCGTTGTTCTCTATGATCATATTATGAAGAAATAATACATGCATACATGATATTCCTCATTTCCGTTTGAGAATAACACTTAGATGGACGATCAAGAATGTGCCACTTACCCTTCAACACCACGAAGGCTCGTTCGATATCTTTCCTCGCTGCCTCATGAGCTTTTTTGTAAGTCGGGCATTTAAGATCCATTGCTTTGGAGAGGAACTTGAAAGTTGTGGAATAATCTGGATATATTCCATCGGCAAGATAATAACCACGCTTGTAAAGCGTCCCTCTAAGCTCAAAAGAAGAATCAGGTGCAGTCTCATTAACCCAATTGTAAAAAACATGCGATTGATCAAGAACATTGATGTCGTTGTTCGAGCCCGCAACACCAAAAAAAACATGCCAAAACCATAAGTCATTTGAAGGCACAACTTCGAACAAAATAGTAGGCTTGAGATGATCACCTCGGGAAAACTGACCATGCCACGTAGTGGGATAATTTTTCCATTCCCAATACGTACAATTGATGCTCCTAAACATGCCGACAAAGTCGTGTTTAACGGCATGCCTCAGCTGTAACTGCTCAATCTTGCTCGTTGTAGGCTTACGTTAATACCTTTTACGATAACGTCAAATAACAGCTTTAGAAAATTTATAAACACATGACGTGATGCTTCGATCCGACATCTTCAAGTCTTCGTCGAACATATCACTAGCCGTCCCGGACGAAGCGCGGCGGTGCACTTCTGGACGCTGCTAAAACAGCACCGGCCTCTCGCATCAAAGTGTTGGGTGAAGCACCTACGGCGAGTATGCGTTAAAACAAAGAATGGCTCATCCGAAAAAGAGTACTAAAATCCTCTGGTGTGTAAACACACAGAGTATTGAACTAGTCGTTGAGCAGTGATTCATATGCAGCTGCTAGATCACGGTTTAAATGCTCACGGATCAAGCGTTAGGACAATTCTGCTTCCTCTTGTTGGCCTTGTTGCCACCTTTGGTAACATCCCGTCTCAAAACAAAACAACAACAAAAATGAGAGCTCTTTTTTCATCGTCACATGAAGATGATCCCATTTTTGAGTCTTTTGTAAAGAGAATTAAAAGAAATAGAATATATTTTGGAGGAATAATAGAGAAAATGAGAATATGTTGTGTGTGTTTGTTGTGTTAAAAATAAAAGGTATTTATAGTATTTAAAAAAATATTTTTTCCCAACGGCCATAATTTGGACTGTTGGAGGGGGGGGGGGGAACGGTCGCAAAGCAGCAGCAGCAGAGCTGCGTCAAACATTTAACGCAAGGGAGATAACGCACTGATGACGGATGAGGGGGTGGCTTTTAACGTCCTCCCAGCGCTAAANTAAAATCGCATTTGACGCGGTGGGCGTTAAGCCCATTTCAGGTGCTCTTTTATGAGGTTGCCAAAAGAAAGTAATGATTCCTAGTTTTTTCTTCTTTTCCGTAAGAAATAATATTAAACCAACCCAAATAAGTGCACTCAGATCTTATCCTATCTAAGAAGGGTAGAAAGACAGTTTCCACGGTCTCAAGCAAGTACGATTCAAAGAGCACAAAAGAGTGAAAAGACAATGTAAAAGACCGGGAAATGTCTAACCAAGAAAGCTGAAGTGAAATAAGTATGAACAGCAAACTTTTATGGATCTGCATTCCCATTTGCACTAACAGACAAGAAAGGCAAGAAGATAATGTGGGGGGTGGGTGGGCCACCATATGTTTGACTTTACCTCTTATTTTGTCTGTCCTAACCACTGGCTCATAAAATCAAAAAGAAACATCCACAAGACTGCTCGCAGTTGGCAAAGATGGAGGCGGTTCACAACCTCTTACTTGCAGTTGGTTTCTTGGCATCCATCTTCTTCTGGGGAGTTTTGGATTGGGTTTGGTTGAAACCCAAGAGATTGGAGAGGATCCTTAAACAGCAAGGCCTGAAGGGCAACCCTTACAGAGTCCTCTCAGGGGACATGAAAGATCTTGCCACCATGATAAGTGATGCCACTTCTAAACCCATGGATCTCTCTGATCATTACATAGCCCCAAGAATCATTCCCATTTATGTTCATCTAATCAACAAATATGGTACTTCCTGTTTCTTTTCTTTCTTAGGTCAACCTGATAGGATGAATAGTTGGATATGTTGATTGACTCATATACCCTTTCTGGTTTGATGGCATGGCAGGTAAGAATTGCTATGTGTGGATGGGTCCAAGGCCTATGGTGTTCATCACAGATCCTGATTTGATCAAGGAGGTTCTCAATAAACATCATCTGTTTCAGAAGCCTCAAAGCAACCCACTGGGAAAGAAGTTGGTCCAAGGACTAGCCAGCCATGAGAAAGATCAATGGGCAAAACACAGAAGGTTGATCAATCCTGCCTTCCATACAGAGAAGCTCAAGGTGTGTCTCTGATGTATTTTTTAGTTTCACTTACAGAATCACTTCAAATTTGAATGAGTTTTTGTTTGTAGGCCCACTATGTTATGACCTCTAGATCATCAAGTTTTTGATATCATATTAAGAAATCAAAGTAACTATGTACAAGCCATATTTATTGTTTTGCTTTTTTCGTCCCAACAAACACTTGGCCCAGCCCCATCTTGCCCCTACCTAACAACTATAGAGCCCTAAATGGGTTTTTACTTTATTTTGTAAATTTCTTCCCATCAACAGCTAATGCAACCAGCTTTCTTGCTAAGTTGTGGTGAAATGGTAAAAAAATGGGAAAGGATTGTCTCGCAAAGACAGTCTTGCGAGCTTGACGTGTGGCCACACCTTCAAGACTTGACCTCCGACGTGATCTCTCGGACAGCATTTGGGAGCAGCTACGAAGAAGGAAAGATGATTTTTGAGCTCCAAAAAGAGCAAACCGTGCACTTTATGAAAGTTGTGCGCCAAGTTTATGTGCCCGGGTGGAGGTAAGTAAACTAACTAATAACTATGTTGATTGGAAAAAGGTTTTTCATGAGCCTGCAAGTTCATTGCTTCCCATCGCAGATTTTTGCCAACTAAGACGAACAAAAGAATGAATTCCATTGAGCAGGAAGTGAAATCATTGGTCCGGGATATTATAGACAAGAGAATGAAGGCAATGAAGGACGGGAATGCTAACAACGAAGATTTGTTAGGCATATTATTGGAATCCAACATGGAAGAAATCAGAAAGCAGGGGAAAAAAGAGTTTGGGATGAGCATTGAAGATGTCATCGAGGAGTGCAAACTGTTCTATTTTGCAGGACAGGAGACGACTTCTGTGTTGCTCGTCTGGACTATGATCCTTCTAAGCAGATTTCCAGATTGGCAAGAACGAGCTAGACAAGAGGTGCTGCATGTTTTTGGCCGGGATGAGGAGCCCGATTTTGAAAGACTAAATAACCTTAAAGTTGTAAGTGTTCATGACAGTACCATGCATGATTTCTTCCTAGTAGTAAACTCTGACTCCCGACATTCTCTTTTCAGGTGACAATGATTTTGTACGAGTCTCTAAGGCTATACCCACCAGTAGCTGGTCTGGTAAGGAGGACGGTGGAGAAGACAAAACTAGGAGATATAGTTTTTCCTAAAGGGGTAATGTTGTCACTACCAATACTTTTGGTACATCTTGAGAGTGAGATATGGGGTGAAGATGCACAAAAGTTCAAGCCAGAAAGGTTCAGTGAAGGGATAATGGCCGCAACAAAAGGTAAAAATGCCTTCTTTCCATTCAGTGGGGGGCCTCGAATATGCATTGGCCAAAACTTTGCTTTAGTGGAAGCTAAAATGGCCATGGCAATGATCCTACAACGCTTCTCGTTTCATCTATCTCCCTCTTACGCTCACGCTCCCATTTCAATAGTGACAACTCGACCTCAACATGGCGCCCCCCTCATCATGAAAAAGCTCTAATATGTCACGTTTTTCTTCCACTGTGTATGACTTCACGGTGTCAAGGACCTTTAAACACGGTTTCGCTATGCAAAATTGATAATATCTATACATAATTCTCTCGTACTGCTTCTCAAACTAATAATAAAGTGACAATCTTGTATTCTTGTTGTTTTACCACGCATAAATTGACAATTAGATATCATGGCAAAGATCATCTGGAAATCTAAACATACTCATAGCATATGAAGGAATGGCTTGGGCTACTGCCTTAATCAGCACCTCCCTCCCTGACCAGGACAAGAACTTCTCTTTCCACCCTCTCCTTGATATTCAAAAAGGTTTCTTTTTTGAACTTCCTATGAAATAAGGTAAACCCAAGTAAGATTCAAAATGGGGCACCTCTTTCACTCTTAGGGTTTGGCACACCTTTGACATGAATATTTGTTAACCCTTTTTGTGTATGAAATTGATTGGGTATCTGTCAAAATTGCATTTTTAAATAATATGGATCATTGAATAGTTTACATTTTACAAAATGGTTTTTTTATAAAAAAGAATAGGCACTTGATTTGGTTGTAATTAGGTGTGATTTTTCATTTTTTTAATTTTCATATTCGAATCTAAAATCTGATACTTCTCCAATAAAAGACATGCACCATACATTCAAATATGATTATCTCTACACAAAGTACACATTATTCCTCAAACTATTCTTCTACTTCTTCCACTGAATATAAATTTACAAAATTGCAAACCACGCTTGCACATAACCCGAGCCCGCGTGCTAGGAATAACATACTGCATTCCAAACGCAGCACTGTAGAGGAGGAGTTAGTCCACTGGATTAGCAACCAACTAACACTATACTGGGAAGGGAGGAAAAATAGGGGGATTAGAAAGTAGTGGTTTGATGTCTTATTTGAAATTGGATGATCTTGTATGATGTAATAATACCTTTTGTTTGGTGATATGAACGAATTGCAAGACGTGCCCAAGTCCGTAATAGAGAAACACACAATAACCTAAAAGTGAAGATTAGTGCTACTTGTAGCATTTAGATTAGTGCTACTTGTATCATTTAGATTAGTGTTACTTGTAGTTTATATTTCTCTATTTTATTTTTATACAATAAAAAGAAGGGGAAAAAATAAAATTAAAAAACAAAAAACTGAAAGAAGAAAAAATTAACCGGAAATGAACCCGAAAGAAAAAAAATGAATGAAAAAAATTAATAAACTCGGAAACAAAAAAAAAATGTTTTTTTCTTTTTTAAAAGATAGAATCTCTAATTAAGTAGACATTAGTAATACATTAAATAAAAAATAAAACAGTAATCATTGTAAAAGGAGTGAAGCACTACATGTGTGAAGTGAGTAAGATGGTAAGTACAGTCAGTGCTGACTGAATAGCTGCAGATTAAGAGTGAGTGGCAGTGGGGAGGAATGACTTTTATATTTCTTTCGGAATTAATTCCTCACGTGGGTCATGGCTAGGGGTGTATACAAATCAAATATAATTAATTCGATTCGTGATTCGTATTCGAAAAAGATGATTCGTATTCGCTTTAATCGAATTCAAATCCGAAAACAAATCAAATTTTAGATTCGAATAATATTCGAATACAAGTATTAATAGATTCAATTCGTTTATATTTCAAATTATTCGAATAGTATAAATAAATAAATAAATAAATAAACCCTAATAAACCCTTGTTATTTGTATACCTTGGATGAAATATTTTAATGGTCAAAATCCTTCCATTTTCAAACAAACCCAATCTTATCTATTTTATGACTCACTACCGCATACCTACACTTAAGGCTTCTTCGTCATCCTCATCTTCATCTATCGACTTTGTCTTCCAGCATAACACAAAGTGTCGCAGGCTTCCATCATTCATATATCTTCCTTTCCAGTGTCACAAGCTTACATCGTCAACCCCATATTTTCCCCTTTTCAAGTATATTTTGGGGACATTGCTTCCAAATTCATAGCAGTTTATGTAACTCATAGTTTAAAAAATATATAATGTATTGTCTTTAGAAAATGTATTTAAAAAATTCTACTATTTTCGAATTCGAATATTTGAACATGAACCCGAATACATATATATGTTAGCAAATCGAATACGAATATTTCTTAAAATTTAAAATATATACGAATTTGAATAAATATTATTTAAAACGAATACGAATCAAATAATGAGATGCTTGTTTCGATTCAACTCTTATACACCCCAAAACATGGCAAAGACAAGAAAAATAAAGAGGATGGGCCTCGAAGAATAAAGGCGATGACCGGTCCCGAAGAATTGATGGCCCTCGATGAGACAAAAAATGGGTCTTGACCCAAACGAATTAAAGCAAATAAACGATAGCAAATTTTATAGTAATACACATAAAAAATTCGTAATCCTGTAATTAAATGAAGTATCGTAATACCTACCTTTAAAATTAAGTTTTAAAATTTTTTATTAAAAAATATAATATATAATTAAAAAATTAAAAATATTCAGCCTTGAAAATATAAGCATGGGATACCTTGATCCAACCCTTGAACCGGCCCTAAGGTAGGCCATGATATGTTTGACTAGACCTGTTACCCGACGACACGAGAGTCCCATCCACCGGAGGACCATCAAGTCAAAGGAAGCTTCCATTACTAAATAAATGAGGCCGGTTCAAATGACATTGAGAACCAATATCATGGGATGACCCGGGGGTGCTCCGGTGCCCCGTTCGTAAAATTGACGGTTCCTACACCCCCTAACCCCCCCGGTAAACCCCCCCACCACGCCCCGACCCGAACGCGCCCCCCCACCCCCTTCAATTGCACCCCCAAGTTGATTTTGACTTTGGAGTCGACTCCAAAGTCAAAATCAACTTGGGGGTGCAATTGAAGGGGGTGGGGGGGTTTACCGGGGGGGTTAGGGGGTGTAGGAACCGTCAATTTTACGAACGGGGCACCGGAGCACCCCCGGGTCATCCCATGACATTGGTTCTCTATGTCATTTGAACCAAGGTGCTAAATAAATATACTCCCTCCTAGGCCTGTCAATGGGTTAGGTATAGACCCAAACCCGTATAATACTCGTAATTTTTTAGCGGGTTTAGGATTATAAAAAATACAGTTTGCCCGTACCCGAACCCGTTATTTTAAAAAAATAAAGGGTTCAGTATAGGACGAGTAGTCCGACCCGTTTAAAACCCGTACCGGTTAAATATATATTACGTACATATTATTAAATATAGTAAATTCTCAAAATGGTCCTTTGTAATAAGGTGTTTTCCCAATTTAGTCCTCAATAAGTTTTAATTACCTACATGTTCCTCTATAATTGAGATTTCTTCCCAGGGTAGTCCATCATAAATAATGTTACTCAAATGATGATTAATTGGGGAATATTTTGGTATTTTGATCATCTAAATTTAAAGTATATTTTTCAAAACAGTCATTTTTGTACAACTAAATGTAAAATTTAAAATATACATTGACTATAAATAATTCATGAATTATTTAAAATTTATAAAAAAATCTTTTAAATTTCAAATCAAATACACATATTTAATTAGAAAAAATCATTTTGGGAAAGCACTTCATTATAAATGATCATTTTAAGAATTAATTCTAAATTTAGCGGATAAAAAAAATATCAAAATACCTTCAATTAGTCCTTATTTGAGTAACATTATTTACGAAGGACCATTTTGGAAATAAATCTCAATTATAGAAGACCACGTAGATAATTAAAACATATTGAGGACTGATTTGGGAAAACACCTTATTACAAAGGACTATTTTGTGAATTTACTCTATTAAATATAACAAAACTTTACCTCTCTTCTTCACTACTCATCTTCTTCGCTGGTTGTGTGGCTTCCAAATCTATTTGTATTTATTTCACCACAATAGAAACATGTACACGTTGGTTTATGCTATGCAGTAGTATAAAATAAATAGTTTGGAATTAGTTGTAATGTTATAAAGAACATTTTTGCAACATGAATGAATGTGACAAGAAAATCGATTATGAATCTAAAACTTTTGTTGTAGATTTTTGGTGAAAAAGGCCGATTTTTGTTGCACTAACGTATTCGTCTTATTTTTATTTGTATTTAATTAAAGTGTTTTTCATTCTTAATATTTTCACTAATTGTTTTTTAATTATAGAAAAATAAAAGACATCAACTTTTATCATGGGTATACCCGACCTGATACCAAGACCCAATGGATTCAAATATAGGATTAAACTTCAAAACCCGTCGGGTAAATGGGTACGCGTCAAGATTAATTTTTTTAAAACAGGTACGGGAATAGAACACTATGGACCGGCCCGAACCCGACCCATTGACAGGCCTACTCCCTCCCAAACTAAGTCCGAGGAATGAAATTCAACATAGTAAAATCCAAAGGAAGCTTCGATTAGTAAATAAATACACTTCCTCCCAAATTAGAATTATTCTTCTGTAGTCCATGTAAAATATGGACCTATTTATAAAATTTATATATTTAAAAACCACATCAAAAGTTCTACAAAATAGAAGATTACTAGATTACATTATTTTATCAAATTACTAAAGAAAATAAGTTTTAAAAAGGAGTGATTAAAATTAATTTAATCATGTTAGTAATTGAGAAAAAATATTTTTCTACTCATTGGTGAGAGTGCTCTTAGGGCAGTGGAAATGGGGTTGACGCCCCCCGGCGTCAATCGCCTTTTGACGCCCAAAGGGCGTTAAACACCGCCCCCATGACGGCGTTAAAGGGCGTCAGTTCCCCCACGATAAAACTTTGACGCTAGCTGCCCACCTCCCCAACGACTCTTTTAGCCGTTACCCACCAAAAGCATTTAAATTAAAAAAACATATATATTCAATCAAAACAAACCTATCTCTCACGCATCTCTCACTATCTTCTCTCTATAATTATATCAAATATTCTTTCAAATATTTTTCTATTTATTTCTAGAATATATTTTAAAAATGGGATCATCTTCATTCGATGATGAAAAGAGAGCTCTCATTTCTCGTTGTTTCGCCACGAGTTGTTATCAATGGTGGCAACAAGGCGAAGAAGAAGAAGAATCCTCCCGATGCCGGACCCGACGACAACGTTTAAACCGGGATCGAGCGGCTATCCACGCTTCACTTCTCAACGACTACTTCAATACTCCGTGTGTTTATACACTCGAGGATTTTAATAATCGTTTTCGAATGAGTTGTCCTCTCTTTTTACGCATACTCGCCGATATTGAATGTGAGGCGCCTTGGTTCACCCAACACTTTGATGCGAGAGGGCGACGCGGGTTTAGCAGTGTCCAGAAGTGCACTGCCGCACTTCCTCAGATAGCGTACGGGACGACATCTGATATGTTCAAATTTATCATAAAAGATATTTACGTAAACCTACAACGAACGACATTCAACAATTATAGGCAAGGCATGCCGCTAAACATGGTTTTGTCGACATGCTTTGGAGCATTGATTGCACGCATTGGGAATGGAAAAATCGTCCCACTACGTGACATGGTCAGTTCTCCAGGGGGGGTCATTCCAAGCCTACTATCATGCTCGAAGCTGTTGCTTCAAATGACTTGTGGTTTTGGCACGCTTTTTTCGTGTCGCAGGCTTGAACATCAACATCAATGTTCTCGATCAATCGCTTGTTTTTGACGATTGGATTAATGAGACCGCACGCGACTCGTCTTTTGAGCTTAGAGGGACGCTTTACAAGCGTGGATATTATTTGGCCGATGGAAAGTATCCAGATTTTTCCACGATTGTCAAGTCTATCTCCAAACCAACGAGTCTTAAACGCCAGACCTACAAAAAAGCTCATGAAGCGGCGAGAAAAGATATCGAACGAGCCTTCGGGGTCTTAAAGGCTAAGTGACACATTCTAGATCGTTTGTCTAAATTTTTTTTCTCAAACAAAAATGAGGAATATCATGTACACATGTGTTATTCTTCATAATATGACCGTAGAGGACAACGGGTTTGCGATTTGTCAGTACAACCTGGACGAGGAGATGCCTATGTATGAAGAAATCGACGAAGAAAAGAAACAAAGAAACCGCCAAGAAATTCGAAACCGAGAGATTCACAATGCACTAACGGCGAATTTGGTCGAACATATCTTTAATCGCTCAAATAATCAGTAATTTGTTCGTAGTGTTGTTTTTTTATGGATGTAATATTTTTTTAATGAACGTGATTTTTTAATGAATGTATTTTTTTTATGGATGTAATATTTTTTTAATGAATGTAATTTTTTTAATAAACTATTCTCCTTTTGATTTTTTTAAATAATTAAATAATTAAATTTTATTAATTTAATTTTAGAAAGTGTATATTTAAAATATTAAAAATGAAGGTTTGAAGCCTCAGGGCTTCAAGCCCATTTCAACTGAAAATGTGAGTTAAGTTAAAGCTGACGTGGCAAAGAGAGAAGGTTTGAAGCCCCGATTTGAAACCCCGAGACTTCACGGGTATTTCCAGTGCCCTTAGAGCACTCCCAAGTCCCAAAAATGTCAATGTCAAAAAAAAAGTCAGGCGTGGAAACTTCTAAAAAGCCACAGTTGGGTAATGATTATGGCAAAAAAAAATTCTCCCCCATCTAGAAAAAATTCACTGCTGGGTTTGCACTCCAATAGCACTAGCAAACAAGAAAAAATTATAAAGTGGGTGGGTGGGCCATCAATCAAAAGAAGCTTCCATTAGTAACTATAAATAAACTACTCCGACAGCAAGACTGATTGCAGTTTCCATTGCATTGTCAAATTAAGATGGAGCAGGTTCACAGTTTCTTACTTGCAGTGGCTTTCTTAGCATCCATCTTCTTCTTCTCATCATTATTATGGGGAGCTTTGGATTGGGTTTGGTTTAAACCCAGGAGATTGGAGAGGGTCCTAAAACAGCAAGGCCTGAAGGGCAACCCTTACAGAGTCCTCTCAGGGGACATGAAAGATCTTGCCACCATGATAAGGGATGCCACTTCTAAACCCATGAATCTCTCTGATCATTACACGCCCACAAGACTCATTCCCTTTTATCTTCATCTAATCAACAAATATGGTACTTCCTGTATGTTTGTCTTGTCTTTGGTCAACTGAGGTGGAACATTAAATATAATATTTTCTGGTTTGATGCATGGTGGCAGGTAGGAATTGCTATGTGTGGATGGGTCCAAGGCCTATGGTGCTCATCACAGATCCTGGTTTGATAAAGGAGGTTCTCAATAAACCTTATCTGTTTCAGAAGCCCCGGACGAACCCACTGGTAGGGAAGTTGGTCCAAGGACTAGCCAGCTATGAGAAAGATCAATGGGAAAAACACAGAAGGTTAATCAATCCCGCCTTCCATACAGAGAAGCTCAAGGTGCGTTTCTTTTGGTGATAAGTTTTATGATTTCACTTATTTCTTGCAGTCGCTTTTGGACATTATGTATGCTTTATGTTCAAAGACATGTTTATGGTAGATTACTTTGGGAATCTGCAATGGTTGTCAAAATTCTCAAATATATTAAGTGAAAGGAGGTTGGTGATATGTAGTATTTACAAACCTGTTTATAAGATAGGTGGAAGCAAATTGTTTTTGATAAAGATCTCTCTATCAACAGCTAATGCAACCAGCTTTCTTGCTAAGTTGTGGTGAAATGGTAAAAAAATGGGAAGAGATTGTCTCGCAAAAACAGTCTTGCGAGCTTGATGTGTGGCCAGACCTTGAAGGCCTGACCTCTGACGTGATCTCTAGGACAGCTTTCGGGAGCAGCTACGAAGAAGGAAGGATGATTTTTGAACTCCAAAAAGAGCAAGCCATGCACGTTATGGAAGTTTTACGCCAGGTTTATGTGCCCGGGTGGAGGTAAGTAAACTTAATCACTATGTCGATAGGATATGATTTCTCATAGACATGCAAGTTCTTCAATGCTTCAAAATTGCAGATTTTTGCCAACTAAGAGGAACAAAAGAATGAATGCCATCGAGAAGGAAGTGAAATCATTGATCAGGGATATTATAGGCAAGAGAATGAAGGAAAGGAGTGCTAAGTATTAGAAATATTAGAATCAATTCACAGCATAATTTTCATCTTATTAAATTCATCATCAAAATGATGAGTATAAAATAAATATTACAAAGTAAATAATCAAGACAATCAAGGAAGGTAAGTGGAAGATAATCAAATATCTTTGATTGGTAATTTGATTCCAATCAAGGATATTATCCTAGTCATCAATAATATTCCTTTGTTTGACACTATTCATTTGTTTGACATTTCTAACACTCCTCCTCAAGTTGAATCATCCGTTTCGGATGTTTAACTTGCTTAATGTTGCTTGAAAGACTCCAGCTCGTACTGCTTTTGTGAGAATGTCTGCCAATTGATCTTCAGATCGGACATATGGAAGACTGATGATATCTGCCTCGAGTTTCTCTTTGATAAAGTGACGATCAATCTCGATGTGCTTGGTACGATCATGTTGTACTGGATTCTCTGATATACGAATAGCAGCGGTATTATCGCACATCAGTCTACATTTACCCTTCGGCGGATACCCCAAATCTTTAAGGAGTTTTCTTAGCCAAAGAACTTCAGTAATTCCTCGAGCGATCCCTCTGAATTCTGCTTCTGCACTTGATAGAGCAACTACCTTTTGTTTCTTGCTTTTCCATGTGACCAAATT